TTTCCAGCTGCATGGACCGAAGCCCCTACCTCAAAGGTAATGCAGTATATCCCCAAACCCCAGACACACCATCCACCTGATTTCTTACACATGACAACATCCCACAATGCACCTGGGCTCTCCTTCTGTCCATCCATCCATTTTCCAACCCGCTTATCCTTCTGGGTTGCGGGGGGTCCGGAGCCTATCCCGAAAACTACCGGCACGAGGCGAGGAACAACCCAGGACGGAGGGCCAGCCCATTGCAGGGCTCTCCTTCTCACTAACTATACATGACCTCCCTCCCGTCTCACCATCACATTGAAAATAAGTATTTTGAACCAGGTTATTGTAAACTGGCTCTGCCTAAATACAGCAAAAACAAAGCAATATGGAGGGTGCACTCCATAACAGAGTCCTGCACCGGGTCGGGTACCCGCAGATAGTTGCTGAAACGGGCGGATTTTAATGTTTAGTAATGTAATGTAATTTTAGGGGCGGGTATGCAGGCGGGTAATTCATTACACACGGGCGGGTAGCAGGTCAATCAAGACAGTATTGTAGCCTGCAAAAATAACATATAAGCGAAAATACCTATGTATTAGACTATCATGTATAAATTGTCATCATCACAGTGTGTTCAGTATGTCGGGGGTACCTTATGGTGCTTTCGATTATTTTTTCTCTCCTAGTCGGAACTCGGATGAAAACGAAAAACGTCACTTCCCGTCGGAAACACGCCTCTTATGACGTTGATGGACAAGATTGTCCGAGTAGCCCCGGTGATGTAATTTCAACATGGCAGCTTACACACTCAACAGTAATTCTATTTTATAAATCTTTAAAAATGTTTATTTTGTAAAATGTATTAATAGTTATAAATGTAACTGCACGTGTTCGATTTAGAGAATACCATATCATGACCGTAAACAGTATCCTATCATGCAATATCAGATTTTTACCAGACTTGTTAGTGTCTTTGGTTTGTTTGTAGTTTGTTTGCCTCTCGAAAAAAGAATATTGCTATGAATGTGATAAAATATTTTATAAAGCTTTTAATGTAGTTTGACTAGTTCGTGTTTCTTGTTTATTTGTCTCTCGGAAAAAATAATCTCACTCCAAATCTGCTAAAATATAAAGCAACAACACACAGCAGCGTGTTCATGGAGGCAGCCATGTTTGTTCCGAGACGGGAGATTTTCGGACGTGATGTCACTCAACTCGGAATTTCCGAGTTCCGAGAAAAACGAACCGCCTCGACAAACATTCACATACACGTCTGAATCCTTGCTGAAGCGTGTCGTCGTGTTCTCTCTTTCATGCTCGTCACAGTATGGATAGCTTAGATCTATCTGATTTGATTTTGTGTTAAACGGACTTTTTCGTTTCAGTTCAAAATTCATGTAAGCCTAGCGCTTGTCACGTTGAGAGGTGCATAGAAAAAATAATTGTATGTAATTTATCACGGGTACGGGTGGGTAACGGGCCCGGGCGGGTGCGGATTTAACTTTGAAATAATCACGGGTGCACGGGCGGGTGCGGGTCTCCAAAAGTGGACCCGTGCAGGACTCTGTTCCATAACCACTAAAGTGATGCTCACCCACACAGGCAAATGCTAATGTCCAAATACATCCATACACACACAAATGTAGCTTAAGCCCACTGACTGTTTCAGTACCAGCAGTGTGCTCTGTGCCCAGAACTGACAGACAGAGCAGCCATGCTAGCCAACACACACACACACCCCACCTGGTCCCACAGTGATAGTGTGACCCAACGGCATTACGTAAACCTGTCCAGCTCACGTGCAGCAGCATCACCCCGCACAGGCCTCTCTGTGTCAGTAATGGAAGTACACAGGAGTCTGTTAATCCATTTATTAAATAGAAAAGCAGACGACACTCAGGTTCACAGCGGCATCAGAAGAGAAACAAAACAAACAGCTTGATCAGCGGCCATCAGACAGACGTTGAGGTCTAAGGACATCGCTCACCGGGCTGGTGACGTCACACTGTCAAAGATATGGGGGACATGTGACTCTGCGGGGCCCAAAGTCAATAAGAAACCAGACTTGCCCTTCATGCTGCTACATTCAGCTGTGAGTGGAGGGTGCCCATGTCGCCCCTGAGTCGCTCCCCCCCCCCCCCCGCTACACAAAAGCACAGCAGGCAAGCGGCTTCTACAAAAATTATGAGCCAAAGGGCTGTTTCAGGGAGGAGAGAGCTGTAGAAAAAGGCCTTGGTCAAACAAAGAACGTCTCAAAACAGAGACATCGATCCCTGATCTGGTTCTGGTGCTGAGAACTCCACATAGCTCGCAGTCCCATGTGTGCCGGAAGACTGTTTTACACGGCAAGTCGGACCAAAAACAATCCACACATGGCGTGACAGTTTTATAAATCACAATTGAAGGACACTGCAGCAAAAGGGTCCTCCATGTTAAACAGAGAGCACTGCAGGGGAGCCTGGAGGATTATGGGTAGTCATTGCTGATCCTCAAACAGGTGGCTGTTTCTGGGGTCAGCTGGGGCACCATGTCTTCATCTGAAACTCTAGATGCCCATAACTCCTCGCTCTCAATCCTCTGACTGTCCTCCTGTGTACGAGGTGACCTCTCTGCTGATCAGTGTCTCTGTACATATTTCTTCTCTTGACATATTTCCTATTATAGCTGTGTTTACAGTACCACAGACAGATCATGCTCTGGTGTTGCAGTATTTCAGTGCTCAGATGTTCTGGAACTCAAATGTTCCAGTGCTTCGGTATTCTGGTGCTCCAATGCTCCAGTGCTTCACTATTACCGAGCTTCGATATTCCAGTGCTTCGGTGCTCAGTTGTTCCAGAGCTCCAGTGTTCCAGAGCTCCACTGTTGCATCGTTCCCTCATTCTCGTGTTGCAGTGCAGCATGGTGAGAAGGCATTGAGGATTACAGCTGGTATTCCTGATAGTATGGGTGCAGGGTCATCCCACTCTACGCATTAGTTTGATTTGCTGCAGTACTCCGCAGGCTTCTATGCTAGGGAGGTGACATATAAAAAATCAGCAGTAAGGTGGTCTTAACAGGCTGCCAGAACATGAAACTCGGTAGGCAGAGTAGGCATCCATATTGTCATACGTAAAGGTGGTTTTTGACGGAGGCTTTGCACTTCCTGCAGTTAATTCCAGCCCCTCTACTTCCTGTGAGTGTCATGGAGCCTGGTGCTCGTTGGTTTATTGCTGATGCGGCGCACTGGGACCTTGGACACGGGTATCTTGGTACGGGGCAGTTCAGTCTTGGGCTGTGGGGCATCAGGTGGGCCAGGCAGCAGCGCCCCCTGGCTGGCAGAGTGAGACGGCGCCACCTGCTTAGCGCTGATGGGGATCCTGGAGTCGCGGGGCAGGCTGGTGCTGCCCTTCAGGGAGCGGAAGGAGGAGGCAGCCTCGGGGGAGGGGCCCACCTGGGGGGGCTTGGTCAGCTTGCTCAGCTTGGTCACCTCCTCATCAGAAGCTCCCAGGCCTGGGCTCGGCTCGGGGTCAACATAGAGATCATAGAGGGCATCGCCACTGCAGCTGTCCCGCAGCAAGGGACTGGCGCTCTCTTCCTCACCGCCCTCGTCATCCTCATCTGGGCCGGGTGTCGGTGAGTCCCAGTAGCCTTCGTCACTGTTGGGCGGGGCCTCTTGTGCCGCCAGATCTTTGCCCCTTCCCTCATCGGGCGTGGTCTGCCGAAGTGACCATGCCCCCACCCTGCCACTGATGGGTATCTTGCTCAGTCCCAGGGCTCTCACTGGGGGGGGCTTTTTCTCGGACTGCATGGCTAGAGGGGGAGGGGCGCCCTGGCGGGGCAGCATGTGCCAGAGATCTTGCATGTCGGCTTCGTCGACCTGCTCAGGGCTGGCCATCTCTTCGCCGCCTCCCATATAGGCCTCCACGCCGCCCTGTGCCTTTAGCGGAGTAGGGGGGTCCTCGAGCACAGGTGGAGAAATCACAGAGGGCACTACTGTTGGCATGCAGTCCCGGGCTGGAGACGTGTCTTCCTCAGCAGGGGCTTCTCCCCCTGGTCCGGCCCCGCTGCTGCTCCCCGTGCCGCTGCTGCTCTGGCTGTCCGCCCCCTCATCCTCAGCATCAGCGATGATGTCACCGCAGCCCGTCAGCGAGTCAAAGCTTTTTAGGGATGTGACATCAGTGAACAGGCAGCACAGGCGGTCCACCGAATGCTCTGAGGGGGGATGCCCAGTGCCGCCACTGCGCCCGGGAGGGGTCACCATCACAGTGGGGGCTGCCAGTGGGGTCCGAATGGAGGAGGGGCTGGGCTCGGCCCCCAAGCTGTCAGGCAGGTGGCCATTCAGGTCTTGAGCTGCATCCATGGGAGGATCCGGCGCCATCGCCTGGGGCTCCAGGCTCAGCACCACAGCATCCCTGGCTGGCTCCAGGGGTCCGTGTTCTTGCCGCGGGGCTCCCTGCGCCTCCTTGTGCCGCCGAGGCCAGCGCATACTCCCCAGCAGTCCCCGCAGGCCCGTACGCTGCCGGGAGGGCCGTGGCTCGCTGGCACCCCCCCGCCCACTCCGGCGCAGTAGCGAGAAGAAGCTGAGTGACTTGGTGACGGCGTGGCGGGCCGCAGCAGTGGCAGCGTGGGGGCGGGACAGGCGCCTGGCCCCGCCCACTGGCTCACCACCATCTTCCTTATCGCGTTCACCCAGCCCATCATGCGTCCGGCTCCTGCCCAGTGCTGCCCCCGCCCTGCGTTGGCCAAACAGCTTGAAGGCAGCCCTATTGATGCGTCCAGGGGCCGCAGGCTCGCATGAGAGGGCCTCGCTGCTCTGGTTCTGCACATCCATGTCCACTGCCGCTGCCGCCGCCACACTCAGTGCTGCCGCTGCGCTCTCCACACACTGCTTTCTCACTGTACCTCTCTCCCTCTCCTCCTCTCTCCTGTGTGTTTTGCCCTCCCTCTCCCTCCCTTACTCGGTCCTCATCTTTGTCTCTCTCTCTCTCACTCTCTCCACAGACTGACTCTCCTTCTCTCCGTGTTGCTCTCTCTTCCTCCCCCCCAACTGCTCGATCAGGTCTCCATGGTAACCGGGGGGCTACAAAGCGGCTTTTGCCACTGATGGTGTAACTGTGGAGTTTGGGCTGCTCCTTCCGATTGGTTTACTTCAAGGTCCCCCCCACCCCCCTTGCTAGGGAACGCAATCACCATACAGCGGCCACATGGGGGGTGGGAACACAGGCAGAAACGAGCGGAAAAAAAAAAACTGTGGTAATCCGGCTCCCCACAGCTTGACGTAAACACAGAGCGCCATTATGCCGGATCTGGGTCACGGTGCCTAACGGGAACGATGGCGGGACGATGGGGGACGGGGGGCGAGTGGAGAAATGCAGCGAGACCAGGAGCCGCTGCCCGTAAACACCCAAAGCCTCCACCCCCCACCCCCAAAGTCCTGCCCTACAGAGAAGGTGCCTCTCAGCACACACCCACCGTATGCCATATGGTCTCGGGGTGGGGGGGTCAGCATCCACGGGCAGAGCTGAATTACCCCCCCACCCCCATCTGCTGGAGCGGCTCTCCACAGCAGGCTGGCCTGCGTGATCATGCTCATCATCTGCTACTTCACTAGCTCACAACCTGTCGCCCACCCCCACTTTGTCTTTTTTCCCGGGTTGCTGGCCCCCACCCCCCTGCAGTACGAGGCCAGACCTCATCTTCTGACTTGCTGGTGCAGTACAATGTTGCCATTGAGGCCTGGGAGAGCCACCTAAGAGTGGGCGAGGCCTCTATTGTCTTCCAGCTGGTGCTCTGGGCCTCCCTGCCCACCCCCAACGGCTGTGGGGTTTCCCCGGGTGCCAGAACCTTCTGCCAGGGGCAGCATCGGGGACCCCTAAACCCCTGACGATCCGATGTGTCACTGACCACACCTCATGTCTGCGCATGTTCTCTGAGCGACGCAGCCGCTTATCTCTTTGTCCTGACTTCCCAGAGGTCCCTGGGGCCCATTACCCCCAGCGACTCTCCCCAGGATCACTGCGGCCACGGTTACAGACACCTGCTTTCATTGCCCGGCGCTACTTGTGATGGAGATGCTGGTCACATGCATGTGTGTCTGAGTGTTGCATGGCCCCCAATCCTGAAAAAGGGCCCAGGTGCCCCTGGACTAGGGGTGGGGGCTTCACTAGGTTGCCAGTACGATGTGGCAGCAGAGTGGGGCTTACTCACTTATGCATGATCACTTGTTATGAAGGATCAACAGATGAGTTACGGGATTCAGCCCGTCAGCAGGAGGAGGCCAACTATTCGAATCCCTGTAGCCACCACCTCTGAGGTGGTCACCTGGGGGTCACAGCCAGCGGGGCAGTTCACACAGCAGTCACAAACAGGCAGGACCACAGCTTTGTATTCACAATGTCACCTTTATTGTCATCTACCAGCTCATTTCCATCTGGGGGGGGGGGGCATGGGAGGAGACCCTTTGTACCGTAAACCTGGACTTCAGCTGCTAGGGCTGATTGGCTGGGGGTGCCTATCAGCCCCAGCTGTACCACGACAGACAAACTGTACTGCTGAGAGGTATATGAGGCCAGGGGCCACCCACCCCCCTCCAGGAGCACAAGCACCCCCTGCAGGCAGAGAGTCCCAGCACACACCTGATTAAAAACCCGGGTGGGAGGAGTCAGGGATCACATGGCTACAGAGACGCACCTCACATCCTCCTTCTGGCGGATCACAGCTAAGCTGCTTGTGAAAATTCATGAGGACACAGTGTATAACAATCCCCAGGGCTGTTTGTTAGGATGCAAATCTCCCTCATATCTGCAGTAAAGGCACCCCGCGCGCGCACACACACACGCACACACACACACACACACACACTCTCCCTACCCCTGCTAAATGAGTCATTGTGTTACCAGGTTGGGAGGGGGTCCTGTACCCAGTGTCCCCATCCCCAGTGAGTTGACCCCAGCACAAGCCATCTCCCACACCTCTGTAAATGCTCCCCCTGCCCCGTGTGCCGAGTTAATCTACTAACCTATTAACTCCATACTGTCATCTCTTTAAAAAAATTAAACATATTAACGGAAAAAAAGAACACAAGTTACTCAGAAATCCCTGGCCAGCCCATGGGCCAGCTCAGCATGTCATGCGGGCCACACCCAGCTCCAGGCTGACCATCTGCGGTTCCGGCTTGGTGCTGAACGGACCCTGCAGCTCGATGTAGCCGTTCTCATTGGCACTGCTGCCCTCCACTGTCCGCTCCGCTCCGCTGCGCGCTGGCACCTCCTCCTCTGCATTGCCACTCTCCTCCTCTGACTCCTTACGTCCATGGGGCGCCGTCAGGATAAGCGACTTCGGGCGAGGTCTGTGAGGGGCGCTGGTGTGCAGGGGGGGCCCTCCGACACTAAATTTCTGCAGCAAAACAGATGAATGGCAGAGAGAGCTGTAGTCATCCATCATAAGGTTATGGACAGATTAGGATGGGGGAGCGACAGAACAACAGGAGGCAGAGCATCTCTCAGAGAGAGGGAATGAAAGAGGGAAGGAGAGAGAGAGAGAGGCAGAGAGAAACAGAGAGGAGATAGAGAGGAGAGATGATGGAGCACAGGGGTGAAAGCTGGATGTCTGGCCGGGTCTCATGGTTTTACCGCCTCCAGCTGATTGGCTGTCCTCTCCAGCTCGCGGTTGCTCTCTCTGAGACCTAGGATGTGCTTGAGGATGGACTGGCGGGGGTGCATGGTCCGATCAAACTGGTGGTACATGTTCCTCCAGAACCTGGATCACACACACAGGACAGGGCAGGACAAAGACTTGCTCTGTCACACCACATGAGCTGGAAACCAGGCTACCCTAAAAACAGAAATGATGCTGTGTTAAGGTGAACCCGCACCGCCCCCTGGTGGCCTGCTTATTAATATCACTGCCCCATTTCCAGATCCCACTGAGGTAGCAAGTTCTCATCCTGAGCAGAGAATCGTGATCATGCAGAGATGGGGGGAAGGAGCGGCAGAGAGGAGGACAGAGGGGTAAGGACAGGATGAACACACACTTGAAGTGGCAGGGCAGGGTGCTGGGTTCCAGGATGGGCTGGGTCTCGGCCAGGGCGGGGCTGTACAGAGGGTTCTCATAGTTCTGCTGCTCGGCCAGCAGGTAGGACCACAGCGAGTGGGTTTTCTCCTTTAACCTGGGGGGAGGAGTCACATCAGACCACTCCCCTACCAATCAGGCCACACCCCCATGGCTCAGTGCCCCTATCAATCATATAGGCCCCTCCCAGTCACTCACTGTAGCTCCTCCCTCTCCCTCTGGCTGTTCCCCAAGAAGTTGCCGAACTGGCAGGAGTGCACATGCTCGTGGATCTGGATGAGGAACCACTCGCTGAACTGGAAGGCCTGGGGGAACTGCTCGGTCACCTGCCACACGCAGTCCAGGAACTGCGTGAACACCGGCGACACCTCCTTGGGATCACCGTCCAGCTGGTCACACCTGGGGGAGTAGGGAGAGCAGTGGCTCGTGTCGGGGCACTGGAAACTTCCATAAAGACAGGAGAGGTGGACACGGTAGCTACCTGTCAGCAAACTTGTGCCCGAAGGAGATCCAGTCCTTTTCGATTAAAACCTGAAACCATGGAAGGCAGAACATCTCAGGCCATCAATGAGATGTTCCAAGGAGTGATGGTACATGGGGTGGGTGCTGGGACATACCATGAAGCCTTTGATGGTGCGGTAGTAGGGGTCCATCAGCAGTGCCCCCAAGGAGCAGACTTGTGCAGTGCGGTCCCACCCATCGGAGCAGTGCACCAGCACGCTGGCGCCCTCAACTGCCACAGCCTGGAATACACGGCACGTGCAGACACAGAGCTTGTGAGTGCAGCTCAGTGGCATGTTTGGAGAAGCTGCGGGGTGGCAGGGGGGGATGCGGTTACCTTGGTAAGGAATATAGCGGCGTCCACAACGGCCTTGATGTGCCGCAGCCAGCCAGAGCTCTCAAGCCCCTGGAGATAATCGGTCATGGAGAGGAAGCGAGCACCCACCACTAAGGGTGACAGACCGGGATGGAGATGGGGACAGGGAAGGGTCAGAGAGTGAGAGAGACACAGGAGCAGACACAGAGGTCCCTCACGCAACACTGACCTTCCAGAAGCTTCTGCAGACTTGCCCTCATCACGTGGATGTTCTCGATGCCCACAAACTGAAAGCGGATGTTGGAGTAGTTGTCCTCATTCTCGTAGCCCTTCCCTGCGGCGCGATTGGCCAGTGCATTCAGCTGGGGGAGGGGATAGTGGGGTCAATTAAGCTGGAGAGGGTGAGATGTAGGCCTGAGGAAGGAGTGAACCAGGGCAGACTGGCAGTCATGTGACCGCTGTTTATAGTCAGGTTATGCTGTTTATAGTATGTTGCCTGTCCAAGTATTTCATTCAGCTGGAAATTCCTGTGATGTGGGCGATTACATTAAAATGATTAATTCTGGGTAAAGAGAGAATCTGGCACAAGGGGAGGCAGCTAAATGTATACGTTTCTACAAATAAACAGTGACCAATAGGGCTAATGACAGGGTTACATGATAGCGCTAACGACAAGGTTAAACAGCAGGGTTAATGCTATTGGTAACAAAAGGGCTAAACAGCAGGGCTAACATCAGCACTAATAACATGATTGTGAGGCATAGGGCACCAAGACTAAAGAGACCTGGCTTAAACCGAATGAATTCATGGCACTAAATGAATCTACTCCAGCTGAATACAGTTATAAGCATAACCCTCGACCAAATCGCAAAGGTGGTGGTGTTGCTGCAATTTTTCAGTCCAGCCTAGGAGTGTCTGAGAAATGTGGTTTGAGTTTCAGCACATTTGAAACTTTGTTCTTAGTCTTGCTGGCTCATCTCTTTCTAGCTCTTCACCCCACATCACCATTGTTATTGTGTATAGACCACCTGGGCCGTACAGTAATTTTCTTAAGGAGTTTGCTGATTTTTTAACTAACCTGGTGGTCAGTACTGACAAAGCTGTTATTGTGGGTGATTTTAAGATGGAGAAAGATAGTGATTCTTTGAAAACAGCGTTTGCAGCTATTCTTGACTCTGTAGGTGTATGTCAGAATGTAGCTGGGCCTACTCATGCCTGTAACCATTCCCTTGATTTGATTATTAGTCATGGCATCCTGGTGGAACATGTATCTATTATGCCTCAGAGTCCTCTGCTCTCAGATCATTACTTGTTAACGTTTGAAATCCAATATAGCCTCCCGTTGACCACAGCTCCAAAGTACAGAATCAGACGTTCCATTGCCTCACTAACTACAACAACATTTATTAAACAACTTCCACAGTCCTTCAGCCTTACATCTGAAGCATCGTGTATAAATGAACTTGAACAGGCGACTGCAAACATGGAAAAATCCCTTCGTAGCACACTAGATCTAGTAGCTCCGCTTAAGAAGATAAATCATAGAGATAAGAAACCTACCCCCTGGTACTCTGATCATACACGTGAACTCAAACAGGCATCACACAAGCTAGAGCGCAAATGGCGCTCAACTAAACTAGAAGTTTTCAAATCTGCATGAAAGAGAGCCTGTCTAAATACAGACAAGCACTAATGACTGCTAGGTCTGTGTATCTCTCCAGATTAATAGACAGGAACAAAACCAATCCAAAATTCCTATTTGAATCCGTGGCTAGGTTAACACATAATTCTACATTAAACTTGCAAGTCCCGCAAGCTCTTAACAGTGATGAATTTATTAAATTTTTTAAAGGTAAAATAACTAAGATTAGACAGACCATCCAGTGCACATCCTTAGCTACCAACGGCTGCCAGCCTCCTGCTAGTCTTATGCCTATCAATAATGAGACCTTTGAATCTTTCATTCCTATAAAACACTCAGAACTCTTGAGCTTAATTTCCTCCTGTAAATCCTCTACTAGCCTCGTAGACCCAATTCCTACAAAATTCTTCAAGGAAATTGTACCGCAGATTAGCAATACCCTGTTAAATGTGTCAAACTCATCTCTTAAGCTTGGATATGTTCCAAAACCTTTTAAAATGGCTGTTATTAGACCCGTCCTAAAGAAACCAAAGCTTGAACCAAGTGTTTTAGGAAACTATAGACCGATCTCAAATCTTCCTTTCATTTCAAACATCATGGAAAAGGTTGTAGTTCGTCAGTTGTCTTCTTTCCTACAAAAAAATAATACAAATGAATTATATCAGTCTGGCTTTAGACCAAACCATAGCACAGAAACTGCTCTAGTCAAAGTAATGAATGATTTACTTATGGCTTCTGACCGTGGCTTGATATCGCTGTTGGTATTACTAGATTTAACTGCAGCATTTGATACTGTGGACCATAATATCCTCTTGGACCGGTTAGAAGGTGTGGTTGGCATTACAGGGACAGCACTCTCTTGGTTCCGCTCATATTTAACTGATCGCTATCAGTATGCCCATGTGAACAATGAATCATCCAAGGCCACCAAAGTCACATACGGTGTCCCACAGGGATCAGTACTGAGCCCACTACTGTTCACCCTATACATGCTACCTCTTGGTAACATTATTAGAAATCATGGTGTTGGGTTTCATTGTTATGCAGACGATACACAGTTATATATATCTGTTAACCCTGATGATACATCACTCCTATCTCGGTTAGAAGACTGTCTGTTAGATATCCGGTGCTGCATGGCAAAAAATTTCCTAATGTTAAACACAGAAAAAACAGAAGTACTGGTAATTGGCCCCAAGGCTGCAAGAAATAAGTTTCACCACCGCAGCATTAGTGGCCTTCCTACACAACCTAACACAGTGGTTAGAAATCTTGGTCTTCTAGTTGATTCAGATCTATGTTTTGATGCTCACATAAGAAGTATTACTAGAACTGTGTTTTATCATCTACGGAACATAGCCAAGCTTCGTAAGATGGTCTCACTTTGTGATGCAGAAAAATTAATACATGCCTTTGTAACTTCCAGACTGGACTACTGTAATGCCCTCCTTTCAGGTTACCCGTCTGGATCCTTACATAAACTTCAGCTGGTACAGAATGCAGCAGCCAGAGTTCTCACAAACACTAAAAAATTTGATCACATCACACCTGTCTTATCCTCCCTTCATTGGTTACCAGTTAAGTCTCGGACTGACTATAAAATACTGCTATTAACCTATAAAGCACTGAATGGCCTTGCACCAGAATACCTTAGTGATCTGCTGACCTCATACAACCCCCCGCGCTTGCTTCGTTCTCAAGGCGCGGGATATCTGTATCTAGGGTAGAAAGAGCTACGGCAGGCTGCAGAGCTTTCTCCTATAGAGCTCCTCAGCTGTGGAATGGTCTTCCACCGGATGTGCGGGTTTCAGGCTCACTCTCAATATTCAAGTCTAGACTAAAAACACACCTGTTTAGTTTAGCTTATAGGGACACTAGTTCTAGCTCTAGCTAACTCCTCACTCCTAGTTAGACCTATAGTGTGAGGTGTAGAGCAGGGTGGGGATCGGTGCCATTGGCTTTGGATAAACTGAATTGACAGTGCTGTCACTCTAGCTTCACAATCGCTTGTGGGATTGGAGTGCTGACATTTCATGGACTCCCCATGCCTGCATTCCCACTTGCCTCTCCCTCCTACTTATGCTGCCATAGCCATATCTGCCGGAGCTTGCACATTGCACTTCATTTTGCACTCATCTAACTTTTAGCACTACCTATAGTCTCCCCTACTTTGACTAATTGCATATTTTATTTCCGCTACTTCTCCTGGGGGGAGCTGCCTGGAGACCTCAGTCTATCAAGATGTCCAGCACACCCTGCAACATGTGACGTCGCCACTACCAATGACATCCATGCATCCAGCTCGCCATTCTGCCTGTGTCATCTTCCATGTATGATCCACTGCCTGCCTTCTGGTTGCCTGGCGATTGGAGGGAGCGTTGGCACCGGCTGTCATCTCCCCCCTGCTCCCCGTTTGTGTGTCAAATTTTACTGTATTTGACTCTCCCTGCCGGCCCCTTAAGGATGGGCTCCCCATTTGAGTCAGGTCCCTCCAAAGGTTTCTTCTTTCTTGGGAGTTTTTCCTTGCCACTGTTGCCTATGGCTTACTCACTGGGGGCTTTGGGTGGGGATGCTGTAAAGCGCTTTGAGACGATGTAATGTTGTGATAATGCGCTATACAAAAATTAATTTGTTGTTTGTAACAGGCCTAAGCGGCAGTGCTAATACAGTGTTGAGGACCAAGGTAACAGCAGCGCTAACGACAGAGCCAAACAGCAGAGTTAACAGTACTTTTAACAAAAGGGCTAAACAACAGGGCTAACGTCAGAGCTAAAAGGCAGTGCAAATGGAAGGGCTAAATAGCAGTGCCAAACAGCAAGGCTAACATCAGAGCTAATGACAGGGCTAACAACAGTGCTGACGGCAGCTTAGTGCTCAGCAGCATTGGTACCTTGGGTCGTGTGTCCATGACGTAGACATAGCGGCAGTTGTGATTGGCCTTGCTGATGGCTTGCAGCAGGTGTTCATCCTCCAGGCAGCGTGCACTGAAGCCGGACAATGGCTGGCTGCACCGGCACACAGCTGCCTATGGGGGGCAGCAGGGAAATTGATTGTGTCTGATTCTGACATGCCAAATCAGATGCTGTTCGGGGATAAACCTACTGCTGGTTTAAACAGTACCAGAGGCTAGGGGGTATTCTCCATTACGCACATCCTCAGCCCACAGAGGCTAGCAAGGTGTCAGATACGGTCTACAGGCCTTATTCTGATCACCTGATACCTGAGAGAAGGCCTCAGTCTACCTGTTAACCACCTGGGACAACTTGACACCGTGGGAAAGCAGAGACAGGTGTGGTGCTGCCAACAGGGCAGGCCGTAACCCAGGTACAGCATGTTAGGCTCGTTTTTGGGTGTTTTCAGATTGCACTGTTGTGGTTATGGTGGGTAGATTATGATCTGGCTGTGTGGGATTCCTCTGAGGACCAGCTCCAATTCCTGTTTTCTCCCTCATTATGGATCAGCACTATAGATGTTCTCTAACCTTACTGTGTGACTGATTTCCAGCTCCATGGAGGTTCTCTAACAAATTGTTTCTCAAAGCAGTCCTCACGGACCACCAGACAGTCCACATATTTGCTGTCTCCCACAGTTGGGAGGGAGAAAAAACTGGTCGAGAGACACCGCCCTAACTCTACTGTGTGGATGGTTCCCGGATATGGTGCCACACTACCTTCTTTTCTTGGTAGAAATAGGTGAGCACGGGGAAACGTCCTTTACTCCTGAACTTGGAGCTGCCTACGATGATGGGCTTGCTGGCGGTGACAGGGACATACAGGTCCCTCGGGTAGGTCTCACATACCTGCGGACACAGGGGCAGCGTGCAGCTTAAGACGGGAAGGGCGCAGAGGGTACAGAGCCTGCAGAAAAACACACGCAGACACACTTATACCTTGTACTCCCGGTTCACGTCGGTCAGCTGCCACTGGTCACATGGCACACCCATGCGCTCAAACTCAGCGTTCAGGTCGATAAGCTGCCAGCCCTCCTCCCGCTGCTGGTCATTCTGCTTGGGGTTGTAGGAGAAGGCGTAGAGCTCCTCGTAGTATGCTGGGGGGGTACAAAGGTACACAGTGATGCCGAGACACAATGCCTTTGACAAGGGAACAGCAACAGGTTTCATTGTTACTTAAAGTTACCAACACGTTAAAGGGAATGCTTGATCCAGGACTGTCAGCACAAGGGAGAGAGCACGCCCCCCCCCCCAGACCCACCTGGCCGCAGTAGCCGCAGCAGGGAGCTGTAGACATCATGGCAGTCGCGCTCACGTGGAATCACGAAGTGCACCACGCGGAAGTTACGGCATTGAATCAGCAGGGGGCAGCCTCCCGCCGTCAGGGACAGCTTCTCCACCGAGGCAATGTGGTGGTGCAGGATCTGCCCAGCGGGGGAGGGGTCAGAGGAATTACAGGTATGGGAAAAAAAGAAAAAATCTTTTGCTGGGGGTGATCACTGCCCACCTGCACTCATGTCACTCACCTCTGCCAGTTACCAGAGAAACCCAGCATCATTAAAACCTGTGACGGCGGGGGTGTCCCTACCCAAATCTCCTGTGCATTGCTCGAACCCGAGCTGCTCTCCACGAAGATGAGGTGCGTGGCGGTCAAGTACAGCGTCCCTGCTATCACCTTGTTGCTGAAGCGATCCTGCAGCTTCACCTGCTCCACCTGTCGTGTCGGTACAGAGACTCAGGGGGGGCATGAACTCACTAAACAAAAAAGGGCCAGCAGGGGGTGCCAGAGGCACTGTGAGCAGCAGCCGGGCTGGATGAGGCGCTAGCGATGAGACAGACCTGCCGTATCCTGGCAACCCGGCTGCAATCAAGTAACACACGACAGCTGTGAGAAACCAAGGACAGCATCCGGCCGGGGGGGGGGGGGGGGGAGTCAATGCGAAGGCCCCAGCAGAGAAACACAGTCACTGGTACTTAGGCCCCGACAAGACTGCCAGCAGTAGCAGCATCTATCAGTCACCTGCAGGGTGGGAAGTCCAAGCCTCCACAGATACTACAGTTGATGCTCTACTCGGTATAGTGCATGATGTCCCCTGACCTAACAGATAGTTAGGAGCTGATCAGTTAACCTGCCCACCTCACCCATACAGTCCACAATGCTGGCCTAGTGGTCGCTGAGGCCTTTTCCAGCCAGCCATACACATGGCCAATCCCCATTCGCTACATTATTAATTAGTGTAAATGAGGCTTATCATCAAAGCCCATGTGTGAGCAGAGCCGGCAGGAGTAATCCTGGTGATGCGTAATTTTTCAAGATGCGTTGCTGTTTTTTTTCTTCTGGGACCTGAACTTGTGATGCTCTGGCCCCGAGCCTGTCCCTCCAACACAGATCGTGATGGCTACCGCTGGCTTTGCTTAAGAAGGCACCCTGCCCTCATAAGTAGGTGTTTTGCCTTTTGGGAGTTAGACACACCCTGGTAGCCCTCAGAGAGAGATCCTACCTCATCGCGTGTCAGAGCTGATCTCACCCGGCAAACGCAGAAGTTGTTAACTGAACCGTATCGCACCAGCTGGCTGTAGGATTGTTTTTGGTGCAGTGTTAAACCTTGTGCCCCGGAGTCCCGCAAACTCGGCCGGTGTTCTGTCATAAAATACTACGTATCGAGACGTGCTATCGAGCCTTTCTGCGCATGTGCAGTTCCACCGTCTTGGGAAGTTGGGATTAGGGTTAGGTTTTAGGGGTTAGGGTTAAGATAAGGGTTTTAGGGGGTTTGGGGGGTTAGGGTTAGGGTAAGAGTTAGGGCTATCGATTAGCACTACGGTAGCATTTTTCGACAAGGCAGCATATATCGACAGAACACCGGCTTACCCGTTCGGGGAAGTGATATTGGGTATAGGGGAGGAGGTCGCGGTGGCCACATATCAACGCTACGGTCGCATATGTCACCATACCGGGACTCACCGCCGGGATTCAACTGTCCCCACCCTGTTCCGCAAAATCACCCCGCCCGGTTTTAATCTACTTCCTAAATATATATTTTGAAGTTAGACAGAAAAGAACAATACTGATGATAATTTGTCTGGATCGCAGATTTTTGACCATTATGGCCGGTGCGTCATGCTCCGTCCGCGGCGCTGACACACTGCAGCAGCTCCGCAGCTCGGCCGGCCGGTCAGCCTCGCCTACCTTCGGCGTCCTTATGTGCTCCATGATTCCCGGAGGAGTGTCGGTCCACCCGGCGGTCGACGGAAGGTGAGGCTGCTCAGGATATCCGCGATCGCAGGCATGCGTTTGACATGTACACACTAACAACAACACTGGACGTACAGCTACCCCGACACCGATGTAAACGGCTATGCGAGCCACTTCCTGCTGCGGGCAATGTACGCCGGGAATTGTAGTTTCGGGGTTGCAAAACAAACAGCCCGCGCCTGTATAGGAATCTTTTTATACCGTTTTAATAGCAAAGTATTAGATAAATAATACCAACAAAGAAGATTCACATCCAATAAAGCCTTTCATGCTGCAAGCAAAAGTACAGATATATTTTGTTAATTGCCTAAGACACACAAAAACATCTTCATTGCCTTGAAATCTGGCGAGCGATTTATATCGATTTAACATGTACTTTCACTGCTATGTTCTTTTCGGATGTGCGTGATAATGTCTTGACTACATTACCACACAAAAAGAAGACTGACGTCATTATCATTCTGCCCTATAATTAATGACATCATGATAATATCTATAATATATCGATAATTACTATAATTATATCCCGTATGAAGTCGCTTTTAATAAATGACAATGAATGCAGAAGAGGAATGGATACGGCCATAGGCGTCGTTAGGTCCGATCACTCGGGGCTATAGCCTAGCCTATATTTTAAGCCTAGCCCCTAGTATTTTAGCCCCGTTGCCAATGTTCCTTCAAATAATATCAATCCTCAGGTAAAGCCGACTTAACGCTCCTGGATACTGCGGAGGACCGTTTGTAAAAAGGGGAACGTTAATGTGTTAGTTGCAGCACCAGATTCCACCGGTAGAGTGCGGTAGTATGGTCCAAGTCCTCCAGCATCCCAGCGTTCCCTGCATACCCGGTGCTCTCTGTGCAGGCGCGTAATCAAACAGCGGCGAGGACGAAGGGGTCTAAATTAAACTAAACAGTCTTCAAATTGGACTTTCCGTCATCATTTTGTTTGCTAAACGATTATCGGTGTTTAAACTGCATTTATTTGTTTTACCGACTTGTATCTTGAGTCCGTTATAAATGCTGCGCGTGCACGAGGCCACGCGACGCGGCTACGCACTGGCGGCTTAGCGAGCTAGCAGGCTCAGTCAGGCCATTAAACTTAATTTAACTTCGCACTTTTTAGAAGGGGTGATCCCGGACAGCGCGATGTCGGGGTTTAATTTTTCGTCTAGCACTCCCGGGGGGTTTTCATTCGGAGGTGTGACCAGGTAGGAAACTGAAAGTGTCCGATTAGCGAGTTAGCTTTAGCAGCATAAAGTATTTAAAATAGCTGTGAGATTTGGTAAATAAGTTACTAAACTGAAGGAATGACTATTTCTGACAATAACATTATGACTTGGACGACGACTTAGCTTTGAGTTCTGGGGTAACATGGTCTTTGTCTGTCAGTCCGGGTGGACAGGCAGACGTGAAGTACCCGCCAGGTATTTTAGAGGCTCGCTGGCTTCGGAGCATTAACACTGATCTCCGCTTTCACGTGGCCGTGATGGGTTGTCTGGACCTGTGACTGGTTTGGTTTGAGCTTTAAACCCCTGACTGTCTTTTAACTCATGGTTCAAAAGCATTTTGTCTGTGCCGTGAAAGTAGTTCAGATGTCTGTAATGTTTAATAAGCAAATTATACCATGTTAAATGACCAACGTTACAGATTTGTGTGATACGAGTCCAGTGAAGCGAGCCTGGAATCATTTTTTCGTAGTCATGTTGAAACTGCAGCCACTGTGAGACTATTTTCCAGTCTGGCAAGTATTGAATCTATCTAGATCAGGGGTATCTCCCTCCGGTCCTTGGGGGTTACTGTCCAGTAGGTTTTCTATAGTACTTGGCTTTGGATGAGTCAAGGTGTGGCTCATAGGGAGCCATGTGAGATGAAAACATACTGGATAGTAGCTCTCCAGGACCAGAGTTGGAGACCCCTGATCTAGATGAATCCTTTTACAGGATGAGGCTGACGTCAGGGAGCCTTTTTTAAGCTTTTAAAACTTAAGAAATCATTATATTTGCCTGATTATTTTCATTTCATTGTTGATGACTTTCGTGTGTTTCTGTTAAATCATCTGCTCAGGCTGTTATTCAGAAGACAAGTGGAGCTGTAGAAAAGGACGATCTCCCCACCATGTAGTTCCGTCTGCCCCTAACGCTGTCTCTTGAGTGCATGTGTTGTTAATGACAGCTTACCTGCATTTTGCATTTTCTGCCTCTCCAGGGCTGTGGGGAAAAGAGAGGGGGGGGGGGGGGTCTGCAAATAAACACTTGCTCCTAATGTGGGTGTGGGTGTGTTGATTCGCTGTACAGGGATAGTAATATATTCTAAGACTTGTTTTTGTTACAGCACTACTGGGGGGAGCACAGGAGGCTTCTCACTGGGGGGGCTGGGCACTGCCACCACCAGCACCACCACATCTTCGTTGGGCCTGGGAGGGGGGCTGTTCGCACAGAAACCCACCACTGGCTTTTCCTTCGGGACCCCGGCAACAGGTATTCGTCCCTGTTTATACCTGACATCAACATTCTGGCGTAAACTGACAGGCGAGGCAGGCGCCCCAACCCGGGCTTAAACTGACAGGAGGAGCAAATGCCCAATCTCAGGTATAAGCTGATACACATCCTGATGTTCTCTGTTATAGGTACTACTGCTCCAGCCACAGGTCTTACCTTGGGTGAGTTCTCATCCTGCATAGGGTGTGCACACTGTCCTCATGCACACACTCCTTGTGCACATTGCTCTGTCCCCATCACCTCCTCACCCTCTTTCCATCTGACCTCTGACTTCTCCTTCTTTAGTCACCACCCCAGCTACGGGTTTCACACTGGGCTTCAGCAAACCTGCTGCCTCCGCCACACCCTTCTCCCTGACAGCCTCGTCTGCCCCTACTGGCCTGACCCTCAGCTCCGCCCTCACCTCCACAGCCCCTCAGGCCAGCTCCACAGGGGGGTTCACCCTTGGGGGCAATGCCCCTGCTTCCAGCAGCTTCTTCGGTAACACAGGCAGCACTGGTGAGGTTTGCCCCTCCACGGAGAGCATGCATGTTTGCGTGTGCATTGTGTGATGACGGTGCGTCTGCTCTCCCTGCTGCAGGTCTAGGCCAGTCTTCTCTCAGCTTGGGCTTGGGCTCGGTCTTGGGCTTGGGCTTGGGCTTGGGCTCACTGACGTCGTCCACCTCCACCACCAGCACTACTACGGCCTCCAGCAGCATCGGGCTTGGGGGCATCGATTTTAGCGTCTCCTCTGAGAAAAGCGACAAGTCCTCTGGGGCTCAGCCTGAGTAAGCAGGGCCTAATCGCACACTAAGCCACGGGGGGCACTGCCCTGCTGCACACAGAACACTGATTTGTCTGAGCTGTGCTGCTCTGCTCTGCTCGTTTCAGGGACAGCAAAGCCCTGAAAGATGAAAACCTCCCTCCAGTCATCTGTCAGGATGTTGACAATTTCCAGTAAGTGCCACATGACAAATTCCCCTCCCTCCCTGATGGCTTGCCCCTATCATGCTCCTTGATCTCTCACACCATTGTTTCTTTCCCCTTAATGCCCTGCCCTGCCCTACCCAATTCCCCTCCCTCCCCGATGGCCCACCCCTGTCATTTCCACCCTCCCTCATGGCCCGCCCCTTTTCTGCCCCTTCCTCCCTGATGGCCCATCTCCTGGCTCTGCTACAGGAAATTTGTGAAGGAGCAGAAGCAGTTGCAGGAGGATATCAGCCGGATGTCGTCCAAGGCCATGCTGAAGGTGCAGGACGACATCAAGAGCCTGAGGCAGCTGCTTTCTGTCAGCGGCAGTGGGCTGCAGAGGAGCGCACTGGCCATTGACAAGCTCAAGGTGGAGACTGCACAGGTACGGACATGCACTCGGACAAATACACACACACACGCACACACACTCAACTAGTGCAGTGCATGCACAAGGCGACATGTCTCTCTCTCTCGCCCGTCCCACCCCCAGGAGCTGAAGAATGCGGACATCGCCCTGCGCACACAGAAAACCCCACCGGGCCTGCAACACGAGAACACCGCCCCTTCGGAGTAAGTGCAACGGTATCCATCCTTCTTTGTGGTCATCTGATTGACTGGCACCAGTAATATCATAACCCCCCCCCCCCCATGAGCAGCTACTTCCGGGGTCTGGTGGAGCAATTCGAGGTGCAGCTGCAGCAGTACCGGCAGCAGATTGAGGAGCTAGAGAACCACCTGGCAGCACAGGGCAGCGGCTCGCACATCACCCCGCAGGGTACGCCCCCCCACCTCTGGCCCGTCTTGCTCCCCCCTTACAACATCTTCACTCATTTCTGCTTCTCTGTGTCTGTACAGATCTGTCCCTAGCCATGCAGAAGCTGTACCAGACATTTGTGGCATTGGCTGCGCAGCTGCAGTCGGTGCATGAGAATGTAAAGGTGAGTCTGTGGTGCTGCTAGGTCACAAGACTGTCTGCCCATGCATCCAAGCCCGTAATGAAGCATCTCAAAGGGGCTGTGTCGAGTCTTCTGCTTCTCGGGGGGTGGGGGGGTGTTGTTTTGGAGACTGAACACCTGTCTGTGTCCCCCCACCCCCCAGATCCTGAAGCACCAGTACCTGGGCTACAGAAAGGCTTTCCTGGGCGACTCCACGGACGTGTTCGAGTCACGCCGCGTGGCCAGCAGGAAGTGGCAGAGCGCACCTCAGGTCACCACGGGCCCGACCCCCTTTGGCGGCGTTCCCAATGCAGCGGCTGTTGCCATGGCGGCCACGCTAACACAGCAGCAACAGCCCGCCCCAGGTCTGACTGCATTCAAGTTATAGACTGAGGTCTGGGGTGGTAAAGGAGGGGGGACAGAGAGGAGGGGCAGTGATTGATGTACAGTGCACCAATGTGGGAGGGGCTGGACTTGAGGGGTCTCCCGTTCTCTGGTGAAGGGTTCCCTGCCCTCGGCTAAGACCCAGCCGCAGTGCGTAGTGGGGCTGCTGCCCTTCTCTCTGCTCTTTGTCCCCCATGGTTGTCACGGGTGTGAACTCCCAGGGAGGAGAGGCTAAGCCCTTAACCCAACTCGCCTCCTGTGTTGTTTGCTCAGCAGTGCACAGTGGAGCAGGGAGCGCAGTCCAAGGCTCCTGTTTGCTTGTTTCGCGCCAAGGAGTTCTTCCTTGAACTGTAGCATTTAGGTGGCACACTCTTCATGCCTGAGCCTCGCTCCGCTCCCTTCCCAGCATGCTGTGGATCTGAAATGCTCAGCTGGTGAGAGTCAGGAGAGAATGTGCAACTGCGTGCAGTGAAGGGGCTGGTTTGAGCAGGAAGTAGCTTGATAACCAGTAGGATGCTGGGTGGTGTTCTCCGGGAAGGGGGTCCACTTCCGTGATTCCCGCCGACTGCTGCTGTGAAATATCTGGCCTCCTATTGGGGGTGTCCTTTAGCATACACAGTGATAAGTCATGATGAGTGTAGTAGAATTTTGTCTGTGGCTGTGGCCTTCAAGCCAGCAGTACGGCGAATCAGTGGCCGATCTGGTGGAGCTTTGGGGGTTCCAACTCACTAATATATTATAAAGTGAACAGCCTCCCCCTCTCTGACTGCTGCATTATGGCATAGTAGCCATTGGGCTATGCATTGTTCATATGTAACAGACAGGATAGAATTTCTCTCTCATCTCTTAAAATCATAAACATAAAGAAACATGCGGTTAACCTGCCAACTCAGCTCGTAACCAGGGTCCTGCTCAGCTCCCGGGGCCACTGTGCAGGACAGGTCTTTCGTGGCTGCTGTGGCCTCTGATTGGTTGCCCTTCTGGTCAGATACTCCTATTTTTGTAGTGGTTGCCATAGTGTGGTTTGATTACGGGCTTTAGAAACAGCAGCCTAAACAGTGAGTGTATGGAGTGTAGTCTGTAGGCAGCCATGGTGCTGCAGTGTCATCATTCTAACTGGCATGTGTGTGAGAGATTAATCTGTGTTAATTAGGCTCCCCCCCCCCGGTTGGAAACCTGCAAGCCGTCCCCGTTGCACTTCAGTTTTAAGTGACCCATTCAGGGCTTGCGGTACAATGTGTCCCTGTGCATTGGCCCAGTAAAGTTAAGTTCCCCTACGTCTCATCAAGGCTCCTGAAATCAGCGTCATCCCGACACGCTGACCATGTTGGCCTTGAGCTCCAGCCGTAAGTGCTGGCGTCAGACTCGGCCACTGGAATCTCACTGTGTCCTGAGCCGCGTCTATCTCTGCGTCTTGGAATTGAAGTGACTTTTCCATTTTCTTGGTGACCAGGGTGTTCACGGTCATCTTCCTGGAGGCACCGCAGCAATAACAGTGACCCCACCTGACATCCTGCCCCACTTTCCCTGCCTGCTGTGCCCACTCCCTGGTGTCTAATGATGGCTGTCTGTATGGGTTTGTCAGAACGTTTATTACTCCTCTGAACAGAACACTATTTCATGGTGCAACTCAAGGTGTGTTGTTTTGACTGCAGTTACTGTTGTAAACCCTAGGGGGCCATTCTTGTCTGGTTCTATATTTGTAGTTTAGCTGAGTTCTGTAGCATGTGACCCCAACCCCACAGGGGTCCATCTGTGTTCCCCTCTGGCTGGTTGCCGTGACACTCGCGTCTGGGTTCTGCTGTGTTGTGGAGTTTTTTCATTCTGGTGCCAAACCTGGGTTCCTGCATGTCCAGGAGAACCTTTCTTAGAGTTGGAGTTCTCGTTCCTCTTTAAGGGCTACCATGTTAGGCTGCTGGAGCTCAGCCCTCATCCTGAGAGGGCGTGTCGTGCACAGTCACCACAGCTTTCTGTGTTCACTTTTCTGCTGCTCTGGGCTCTTGGGTCCAGCCTTATTCTCGGATTTGCTCCGAAACCAATACTTGACCGAGGAACTATTTCTAGAACCAGTCCTTGATTCTGGGTTGGTTCTAGAAATACTGCAGCTATAGTACGTGGACCATTGTGTCTGGATCTCAGCCAAGAGAAGGACAGGATCGCTAACCCCGCACTCACATGTTTTTTGGCCTAATCGTCCCTGGTGAACATGGTTCAGGCCGCAAATCCGGTTTGCAAAAAGTGGGGGATCAGGATGGCGTCCTGTTCGTTTAGCTTTCATAGCCAGCTTTCTGAGGCAGTGGTTCTCCCTTAGATGCCTGTGATGGCTCATTGGCGTGCCTTTAAACTCTCGCCGCATGATGCTCGTAGAGACGTCCACTGCAGTGTCCTCAACACGTGTTGTCTCTCAGCCAGGACTCTGAAATGTGTGATTCAGTAGCAGCCAGGAGTTCCCCTCCGTGATCAGCTCTGTCTCCAAATGTATGTCATGTTTCCTGTAAGTGAATTCTTGCTTTTAAATCGACAATAAATTGATGAAAAAAAATCCCTTTGTCTTGGCTTTTTTTTTTGATTGGATGAAAAAAAAAGAATTCCTGGTGCAACTCGATGTATCCCGAGTTGCAAAGTGTAAATTTTATTCGCTTTTATTCCAAGAACTTTAATTTTATTGGAAGAATCAGAATCAGCTAAAGGAAACATGAGATATTCAAGTAGAAAGTGAATTTCAGTTGACTGAATTTCAATGTTTGGCTGTATTGTAACAACACCAGGGGAGGGGGGTTGCGTGGAGAGCAGCCTGGCAGGAACACCATGTTGAACAGAGAGGTACTGTCCTGTTCTGGTGCTGCGCTGGAGTGCTCAGCAGAGAGGGCTGCTCACAGGCTGCACTGGGCAGGAGCCACGGAGAGCTTAGAGAAACACCAGCCCAGCTGTGTAGAGTGACTCAGGGAGCGGAAGCAGCAGCAGGGAAATATGAGGAGCAAAGCTCAGAGCACTGCGCTACCTATAGACACAGGTAGGAGGTGCTGTTTCTGAAGCTCTCCAGCTCGGGAACTGGCATTCCACTCCGGCTGTCAGGTGCTGTGTGTGGGAACCTGATTTAGGATGGAATGGCACAGCAATATGGAAATAGAGGTAGTGCCTGCCTCGCCTCGCCTTCTGTGTCCATGGTGACCATAACCCAAATATGTGTGTGTGTCTGTATGAGGCCACGTGACAGATGGGGTGTGAGATTCACTGGTGACTTGTTGGAGTTACCATATTAAAAATGCAGCACTTTGTAATCTTAAACTGCCACTTTAAAGTATTGCACTGCACAGACACACTGGAGCTGAGCTGCCTGTGAACAGCCAGCTAATGCCATGCCACAGGCTGTCCCCTGCGTGTGTGTGGGTGTGTACGTCTGCCGTCAGGAAACACAGGGAGTTCAGGCCAGTTGCGTAGGAGGCACAGTTCACACTCCCAGGCAGGGAGATCCTGTAAGTAGGAGTACTGCTGTCAGTAATTCAGACACGCTCTTTATACGGCTGGTTTGCTGGGCAGGGGGCGCAGGGTGATCTCCAGAGCCCTTATCTGACTCCCTACTCCACATGTGTCTCTCGTAGCATTCGGTGGCGGCCCCAGCTTCGGAGGAGTCACGGCACCCAGCTCATCTTTTGTCTTTGCCTCTGCCAGCAAGCCATCCGGGGGGAGCCTCAGTGCAGGTATGACCTCACTTCCTGTTTGCTGTCCACGTTCTATGCACTGATGCTGTGGTTTGCGACTAAGGGGGCTGACTGTCAGCTGCTGTCACACTCCACATTGTGCCGAGCGTTAGCTTAGCACACTGAGGTGTGGCATGTCAGAGTGTTGCTAATCCCCCTCGCTTCCCCCCTCCCAGGATTTGGCAGCTCCAACACTTCCGGCTTCAGCTTCAGTAACCCAGGCATCACGGCTTCAGCCGGCCTCACCTTCGGTGTCTCTAACACACCCACTGGTGGCCTCGGCGTGGGGGCACCCCTCCTGCAGCTCAAGAAACCCCCTGCGGGCAATAAGAGGGGCAAGAGATAGATAGCGAGACCATTGGGGGGGGGGGTGTCCCAGCACATCTGCCACAGGAAGTGTTTATTTTTATATTCACCCAGCAGCCAGGGGGCAGCAGCTGCAGGAGAAAAGGGAAGGAGCAGAGCATTTTGTTTTTTCTGTTATTCTAGCTCATTTAATAATGTTTGTTTTGTATCGTGGTCATGACGGTATGATCCATGTTCGAGTGGCACAAACAATTGTGTGTGTGTGTGAGAGAGAGAGTGAGTGAGTTTGGTCTGGGGTTAAGCCCGCTAATGCCTTGTTCATATGGGTGTACCTTTTTAGCCAATCACATTCTTGCTGTAGTGGTTCAGTAGTCTGTGAGCACGTGCAAGCCTGTCAGCACACCTGAGCGCCAAAGACTGCCCAGCCAGCTTTAAGGGACGGGCTTCCTCTTCTCTCTGGTCTTTAACTGTCCGTCATTTTTGTTATCAAGCGGTGATTTTTTTTTCTATACTTGTATCAGAATTTGTGTGTAAACTTGTATTTTCTGACTTTAAAGAGCATAGCAGTTTAATAAAAAAATAAACATTAAAATTGGCCAGTGTCTGGTAGATCTTGTCGTTTCAGCTCCAGTCCAGCAGATGGCGTGGAATCTGATAATCCGCATTGTTTTTAATTAGTACAGCGCCTGTTTAACAACACAAATGAACTATTGACGCGGTGAGACTATAGGTAAGAGCTGGGTATATGTGCAGGTTTTTCTTACTTAACCTCCGTTCGACAGATGAACACACTGAACCCCTGGTTAGCTGTGTTAAAGAGCTGAAGACTAGTCGGTCTAACAAACCCCAGGGGCCATATAAAACCTTAGAGCTGGTGGCTCGTCTCAATGAAACGACCTTAAGGTGGGTGTGACTGCCCTAAATCACTATAATTTATCATCTGCGGCTCTGTGGTCCTCAGAGCCAAGCCGGTCGGTCCCGCCCCGGCCCACGCCCCAGGGAAGGGGCGGTCCGACGCCGGAGCAGCTCGCTCTTCCGCGGGCAGCGATACGCAAAGATGGCGCCGTCTCACGTATTAAGATGCTGCCAGCGGGTCCTTGCCTGGATCCCTGTCGCCTTTATCACCATGGTGGTCTGCTGGTCCTACTACGCCTACGTGGTGGAGCTATGTGTCTGTGAGTAGCGACCCGGTCTCGGTCCCCCTCCGGTTCGGGCGGTTTCGGACTGCGTTTCGGCCGTCCACCTTTCTGTCACCGGTCACTCCGCAGAAAAGGCAGCTAGTTTTATATCCAGAGATTTGCTCCGGTTAAGCGGTAGGTTACTAACGAATGGAAGCGGTTGTAGAGGCCGTATACACTCGGTACCCAGTCAGCCGACAAGTTAGCTCGTTTAGGTAATACCGGTCCTCCGTCCTGGTGTATAGCGGCTATTCCTCGGTTCTATCCCGTACTAGTTGACTGTACCTAGTTAAGGTAGTCGGCAGTGATTTCTGTGTTACTAACTGACGAGGCTGTGCTTGATAGCAGGTTTAACCTTCTATTCCTACGTGTTGATCTGCCGGCCTCTCGCTCGTTTTAACGCATAACCGCTATACCCCCCTCCGGGTTTAACTTCTCCCATCGTGTTTATATACGCGTTAAGCCTATAACCATTCAAAACAGTTGCTTTCCGGGTTAGGCGCGTGCCCTGATTAATGCGTAAAGCGGTCGGGGATGTGTCGTCGTGCCGGACGCCCAGCAGCTCCCAGCGAGTGACCAGTCCCCCGCACACCTGTCACTTTCCCGGTCGCTCGTTTGGAGCCCCCCCCCCAAGGTTGGTACTGAAATGCAGCCCTGTCCCCTCCGTGTTTATTCCCCGGCCGGGCAGGACGGCGGCTTTGCTGGTCTCTGAGCCGCAGCACCAGCTCCACCAGAACTGATTTATATGTAAGAGAAGAGGCGAATCAGTCCATTGCGTTATAGCGACATTTCTAGACACATTCGTCGGTGTATCAAGCTGCGGTGTCAGTGAGCCGAGGCCGTGATGGGAAGCGGCAGGTGGTGCCTGGGGGAGGGGACCCACACAATGTCCTGAGTGTACGGCACCTGGGCCCGTTGGACCAGGGCCCCCCGGAGGTTCCCTCCACCGTGGAACAAAGAGGCTCTGTCTGGCATAGATGTAGAAGCACTTGGTCGCATGGCTGGTCCAGACCCCATCCGTGCCAGGCTCCCCCCACTTACTGCCAGTCAGTGGTACGCATCTCTCTGTCAGTCATCCCTCCTCTTTCTGTGTTTATTGGCACATGATTGTCAGTGGGTGGAATGTTCCGGCGACTTGGGGGCTGCCACAGCCTGTGCAGGAACATGTTAACCCCCCCTCTCTTTTTCTCTCCATCTCTCTATTCCTCCCCCCATCCTCGGCCGGCTGCAGTCACAATCCCAAACATTGGAGAGCAAAGTAAGTGTGGGGGAGTGGGTGTTTTTGTTATTATTGTGATATTTAAAAGCCAGCCTCCTGTGGAAAATGAAATGTACAGAGTATGGTGCTCAGGGAGGAAGCAGCCATTGGGTTTGGTGTTGAATTAAAAATTAATCCCTTAAAACCAAAATGGACATCCATCTATTGACCTTTGGCATGACATTGGGCCGTGTCTGTAACTGCGTGAGGTTCTCAGTGCCCATTCCCTCTAGTAGAACCCCATATTGACCCAGCCTTTCCCTAGCTCCCTCATTTAGGGATTTCTCCTGGTCACAGAGGACAGAGCCTGTCATATGTATATATGTTTAGTTAGTCCACTGACTTGAACCTGATTTGAATGATCCAACGTGCTCTGGGTTTGAGTTGTGACCCTCAACGTCCTCCTGTCTTGCAGTCATCTACCTGACTGTGTTCCACTTCTCCTTCTTCATGTTTGTGTGGTCCTACTGGAAGACCATCTTCACTAGGCCATCTAGCCCGACCAAAGAGGTACCGGCAGTCGCTTCCTTACTGAGCGGTTCCTGTCCTGATCCGCAGTCATACAACTGGGGTGTGTCTCCAGAACTGCCAAAACTAATAACAGGCTTGGAGCTTTGGTTTATTTCAGTGTGTATGTTTACTCTGTAACTCTCTCTCTATCCCTGTCTTCATACAGTTCAGTCTCTCCAAAGTGGATAAGGAGCAGTATGAGAGAGCAGAGCGGCCTGAGACTCAGCAGGAAATTCTGAAGAGAGCAGCCAGAGAACTTCCCATCTACACCCGCACTGGCAGCGGAGGTCAGTGTGTAACCCTCTCTTCCCCCCAGTCTACACCCTCACTGGCAGCGGAGGTCAGTGTGTAAACCCCCTCCCCCCAATCTACATCCACACTGGCACCAAAGGTCAGTATGTCCCCCTCGTCTTTCAGGAATCCGCTACTGTGACCGGTGCCAGGTGATCAAACCGGATAGGTGTCACCACTGCTCTGCCTGTGACATGTGAGTCTCCTAACAGGTGTTCTCTGCATGGTTTTTGCATGTTCTCTGCATGGTTTTTGTGTGTTCTCTGCATGATCATCTTTCAGTACAAAGCTTTTTCTGCTCCAGATTTACTAGTATGAAATATGTAAACATCAATAATTTGACATCTATAAGTCGTTGCATTGCTGTGGAATGTTATATGTGGATGTTGATGCGAGAATCCCCCCCCGCCCAGGTGCGTGCTGAAGATGGACCATCACTGTCCCTGGTACGTCTCCGTTCTTCCTTTTTGTTCAGAGGTTCACCAGCCTATGTGCCATTTCCGGTCCAATGATTGATTCTTTTTACCCCCCAGGGTCAATAACTGTGTGGGTTTCTCCAACTACAAGTTCTTCATCCTTTTCCTGGCCTATGCGCTTGTGTACTGCCTCTTCATCGCCACCACTGTGCTGCAGTATTTCATTAAGTTCTGGACGGTGAGTGTCCCCCCTACTCCCACCCCAACATGCACTGTTCTGCTTCCTGTAGCACATGCTCTGCACTTCCTGTTGGCACGCGTCAACTCTTTACTCCCTTTTCTTTTGTCAAGCATCCTTCCCGACCCTGACCCTTCCTCTGACCCCCGACGCTATCCCTCTGCATGCCTGTCTATTTGCTCCTGTCTCATGATTGGCTGCATTTTTTTCCCACACACACAAACACAGCAGCACAGACCCATAAGATGTAAATAAGCACGCTATAAAGCCCTCAGCCTGGGTATGGTCATGGTGTGATGAGCCCATACCTCACTCCCTGTCTGTTTGCTGCTTTCTTGCTGATCCTACCCCACTGCCCCCCCCCCCCAACCCCATCTACCTCTGTGCAGCCTATAACACTCTGCCTGTGTGTGAAACACGCCCTCTCTCTCTCTCTCTCTCTCTCTGTATAACACACTCTTCTCTTTGTGTCCAACGCTAAGCTCTGTCGGAGGAAATCCTCGGAACACTGCCCCAAGGTAATGACCACTGTCCGTGTCCTTACTGTGTGGTTCTGCGTTATCACCCGTTTCTGAAACCATCACTACACCTGTTCTGCTCTGCTGCTTCTGTTCAGATCCATTTGGAAGCCGCGTCCTGCATGTCTGGACCGGTCAGCTGACTCCATTGTGCGACTTTGGCCCCCCCAGGGCTTCCCTTCAGTTTGTCTGTTCCCTTTAAGTGCTGGCTGCAGAGTGTGACCATGTGACACAGAAGCCCCGCCCCCATGTGTCCCATGTTTACACCCCCCCCCCATCTCTATCTGTGTCCCCTCAGAATGAGCTGCCTGACACTCACGCCAAGTTCCACGTCCTCTTCCTCTTCTTCGTGGCGGCCATGTTCTTCATCAGCATCCTGTCACTCTTCAGCTATCACCTCTGGCTGGTGGGGAAGAACCGCTCCACCATAGGTAATCCGCAGCCTTCTGGTCCGGTCCGGTCCAGCCTGCCTGGCGTTGGTCCCCGGTCTGGCCTTTCCTGACCACCTCCTCTTCACAGAGGCCTTCCGGGCTCCTGTCTTCAGCAACGGGCCTGATAAGAACGGTTTCTCTCTGGGCTTCAGAAAGAACGTGACTCAGGTGTTTGGAGACCAGGGCAGGTTATGGCTCCTGCCCTTCTTCACCAGGTGAGGGCGCTGTTCTGTCTCAAGCTGGTCCTATTCAGGAGGGCACGGTGCAGGCTGATAATTTTAAGCCGACATACTGATTGTGCATTCCATTTGCCGTCGGAGCTCGGTTTCCGAGTCGTTTTCCAAGGACTGAAGCCGGAAGTGACGACATGCGTGCTCCCGTTTCTCGGACATCCAACCCAATATCTTGGAGCACCACATAGGATCCCGAGTTCAGAAGCCAAGATGGCTGTGCCCAATATCAACGGAAGTGAAAGTTGTAGTTTTATACTGTTTATTAGCACTTATGTCTTATTTGTGGCTCATTAAATCAGTCGCACACACTATACCGTCCAACTACAACTACTACTACGGAGTTTTATGCATAAAGCACCACATGTAATGTGTTGTTAACTGAAATATTTAGATTTTTGATATGGGTCCCTGGTATTGCTAAATGGTTTCCGACTTCTTGTATTGGAACACGTTTAATTTGTATGTGACGTCATTCCCAGTTCCGAGTTCTGACCTCAGAGGTAAATGGAACGCAGTATGATTTGGGGTAGCATGACGCTTTGGCAGTTGGATGCGAGAGCTCAGCTGTGCCCCCTGTGGGTTTGGAGGGTTTCTGCAGTTTTCCTGCAGGTGAATCCAGCATCACGGCTTCTCTCTCTTCTGGTCCCGCTCAGTTTGGGAGATGGCTACACGTTCCCAACCCGCCTGGTAACAGCCGACCCAGAGCAGGCCACAGCCGTCCTTCACACCAGTGCCAATCCAGGGTAAGTTGCCTCCCTCTTACTCACCAGATGGGTCAGGCTACCTGCAGCTCTCGTCACAGTTAAATGCCTGCATGTGTCACACTGAAAATCCCTCTGCATGTTGCAATACCTTCCGTTAACAGTAGGGGGAGTGCTGGGACCAGACTGCACGCACAGGAAAATGTCAGTTATCTAACAGATGTGTCTATGTGTGTCTCTTCCTGCACCTCTGCACAGATGTGATGATGTCATCCACACCTTCAGTGAATCGCAGAACCAACTCCTCAACAACCACTCCAATGAGAACCACCTGGAGCCCAACGGAGTCAAAACGGGTATGAGCCTGGCTGATTACAGTAGAGTGTAGCTCGTTCCTCTGGCCATTGGCAACACGACTTGCTCTTTTGGCCAATCACAGCGGAGCATGGCTCATTCCCCCAGCCAATGGCAGTGTAGCTCACTGGAGCACACTAGCTGTATTGTTTGGCTCTGCAGTGGGCTAATAATGGCTTTCAGTAAGTGAGTGTCACTTAAGGCTCTCCAGTACTGCTAAAGCCCCACCTTCGTTTATCCAGCTACCGCTGATGCTTATTTCACCTTTGACCTTTTCTAGGTGGCCATGAGTCCGTCACAGTGTCTTTGGAGAAGGAGTTGTAACCAGGTGAGCTGCTAATAAAGCCGCTTAATTTTACTTTCTGTGGAATTCTCTCTGTGTTAACCAGCTCCCTCGTACCCTTCCACAGGGCTGGTGGGAGCGGGGAGGACATCTTGCCCATATAAAGGGTGGGAACCTGCCAAGGCACACAGCCGTCCAATCAGATGCCTTAACTGTGTTTGGGTGGATACCTGTCGCCATGGGAACACCTACCAGAAAATGGGCGGGCCCACTGGTCCCCTGTGCCCCTCCTCCATCAGGCACTCATACGAATTTACATTGTTTCTTACTAAAGGAGGACCAAGGATTTTAAAACATCTATTTTAACCAACTTTTCTGTGCATTTTAGTGTAACATGGCTTTTGATGTAACATGCTTTAATTTCAAACCAAAAGAGACTGTCCTTTTTCCCCGAGAAGCTGGGGGGGTCTGCAAGCTGAACAGTGAATGGCTTAAAGGAGGGGTGTAGCAGGGTGATGTTTTTGACTTTGGGTACGGGTATCCTCCTATTGGCTAATCTATCTGTTAATGGATGCCCTGCATTTACTGTAAGAAGGTCTGCCGGACTCTAGGGGGAAGTGTGGAGCTCCTCTGCACAGCACCATCCTGTTTGAAGAGCCCAAGGCGGATGGAGTTGAATGAGAATCGTCTGAAGAGGAATCAGTATGGGCAACCACAGCTGCCATCTTGACAGGTCACTGTGGAAATGCATTGTGGGTGGGGACTTAATAAGCTCAACCCGCGCTGCTACAGACCAGTGCCATGGACACCTTCTTCTTGCCTCAATTGCCCATGATTCTTTGTCCCATTGTTTTTAATTAGGATTTTTAAGTGCATCTGAAGCGCCATCCCGGCCGGCGCCTGCCATGCCTCGTACAGAACTGTGGGTACGCATCTCTGTTTACACACTAAAGCAGACTGCAGACAGGCAGTGTCCACCCCACAGGCTGCTTGCTCAAGAGCACCCCCAACTGAAGGAGGTTCTGTATGCTTTACAAAGGCGAGGTTGTTTACATTCATTCAGATGCTGCTTGTCTCGTCAGTCTGGCTTCTCTGGTTAATAAGCCAATGCCCTCTCCCACACTCTGCTGTGATTGACCCGTCCTCAGCTTACATCCGTGTGAACTGCTGCTGATTGGTCCAGAACAGTGTGATCCATCACTACGTTGTTGAGTTTGGACATGTGCTCAGAATGACCCAGCAGACATCTACACATTTACTCAGTGCTCCTCCAGCACAGAGCTTTGCCACGGTGATGATACGGGCCTTTTCTGTCAGATATCCCTTTGGAGTGTAATGTGCTCTATGGTCACCAGGGGGAGACAGTTGCCTTTCTCTCCCCCCTCGAGTCAATTGGTGGTGATGGTCTCGCATGCTTTGTGTTCACTCTGGGCTAATGGCAGCAGGTCCAGTTCCCATGTGGGCTTCAAGGTTAAGGAATGGCAATTCTCTAAAGAGCTGGGGTGCGTGTCTAATCAATGTAAAAAACATATTTGCAGGTTAGTGTTCAGTATTAGCACTCGCTGAGCGTTTTTGGTGACCTTTATCCTGCTTTGGCTATTTCGTGTCCAGGAAGGAAATCTGCTGTGATTGTTTGTTGCCTTGTGTGAGAATGCTCCATGCCCTCAGCGGTGCCCCACCCCCAAGAATGACTCGCGCCCAGTGCAGGTGACTCTCCGATGGACAATCCCATCTCGGCAGCCCTACAAGAGCTCTCTGCGTGTTTGAGTGCACCATCACGCATGACTTCTGCTGGGCGTAATCGACCCTTTAGGCTGGAAAATGTTTTTCCCCTTTAGTGATTTTTCTGTCTGGGATTGTCCCTCGCAAAGCTCTGCGTTGCGTAACAACTAAGTGATGCAGGGTATCATGCCATAGCACCAAAGTCGCTCCGCAGATGATGTCTGTAAACCCCCCCCCCCCCTCCCACTACACTGACTGGGCCCCGCTTCGCATGTATGGTGTAATATCTTTGTATCCTAGTTAAAATGCAAATTACCTTTTAATGTGCTGTTTCTCAATACACAGTGCTGTCATCAAACTCTGTCTGCATGTCCTGTGTGTGTCTTATGGTAGCTGAGGAACAGCCACTGCAGAAGCTTCTGCCACATTCGTATGTTTTGTGAATTTTTAAATATTTTTTTATTTATTGGTCTTTTCGTGGCTGCGTCTCAGCTGGGACATAGACCAACACTCCGGATGCAGCGGGGGAGGGACCTCCTGCTTAAGGGAGGATGCAGCCCCAGTTCACACAGCCCAGCAGCTCTGAGTCCCAGGAAGCGAGCCACTCTCGTACTCCTGCACGCACATATCGGGCTGAAGCTGTCTGCGGGAGGTGGCGGTCATGATTGCCATCTGATGTATTCCATCTGGCCCTGAGGTTTGTTTTTACGGTGGCTAAATTAGAAGCATAAAACAAGACCCCTAAAAAGGAGGAAGGAATGCCAATACTGAGCGATCTGATTGGAGGAGTAGTCTGAGTGATCCGATTGGAGGAAGAGTGCACCCCTCCCCTCAGCTGAGCTCCCCTCTTAGGCCCAGGAAACCCTGCTCGGCTTTGGAGAGTTTTGGGTCCATTTTGCCACTGAGGGACACTGTGCCGGTCCAGGGTCAATGTGGCTGATCTAATGATTAATAATTAAGTGTAAGGACAGAACATGAGCAGGACGGGACTCTGTCATCTCACTGAGTAAACAGGCTGTGACCCATAACACCCCCCCATTCTGCCAGGGGGCTGTTTACCCCCCATCTCAGGGCCAGTCCTGCCCGTGATGTCATCTTGGCTCAGGGTGATGTGTGGGTTTCATGGCAGGAATGGAGGCTGATAGCCTCAGTGTCAGTGTCCCTGCCGGCAGAGTCGCTGGGGGAATGGCCTGCCGATCATGACCTTGAAGGGCACAGCAGTGGGCATGGCCAGCCACATCAAGGTAGGCAGGAGCTGGGCAGATTCTAAAAGCGATTATAACCCCTTTTCCGCAGGTACAGTGAAATAGGAGCCATAGTTATCTTGCTGGGAAGCTGCAGAGCACAGGAAGCGAGAAAAAGGAGTGCCGCACAGGCCTAGGGCACAGAGAGAAAAAGGATAGCCGCACAGGCTTAGGGCACAGGTAGTGAGAAAAAGGAGAGCTGCACAGGCCTTGGGTACAGGTACCAAGATAAAGGAGTGCCGCACAGGCCTAGGCCACTGGTAGCGAGATAAGTGAAAGCCGCACAGTTAGTGAGACACAGGAGAGCTGCACAGGCCGGGGGCACAGGTAGTGAGATATAGGAGAACCGCACAGGCCTAGGGCACTGGTAGTGAGATGAAGGAGAGCCTCACAAGCCTAGGGTACAGTTAGGGAGTAAAAGGAGAGCTGCACAGGTACTGAGATAAAGAAGAGCTGCACTGGGTCGGGGCGCAATTACCACGGTGAAACAGAGCCACACAGACCCACAGCGCAGGTGCTGTAGCAAAGCATACCTCATTACCTGCACACCACACATGCACAAACTGCCACCTGCAGCTGTACACCAGTGTGTGCCCTTGCCGGTGAGACTTGTTTTTTGTCTAAATGTATATAGTTGAGCATGGCTACTGATTCTAGGAAAAATATGAGTCACAATACATTTTTTAACTAAAGATTTTCCTTCACAATTTTTGAGCAATATACAGCCGTGGGAAAAATTAAAAGACCATTTGTTTTTAAACAAATCTTGTTTTTAAATCCTGGTTTAATCGTGGTTCTGCAGGCAGAAGGCTAGTAGTACACAAGAATAAGGAGAAGCAGGAGACACTGGGAACAACCAGAAACCAGCCAGGTAAAAGGCAGAAGTGACTTTCTAATGCCAGAGATGATCAATAATTTATCCGGCAGTTTCTCATGAATCGGAGGATGACGTAAAGTGACCTTCAAAAGGAATGGGAAACATTAAGTGCAGGTGTGAAGTGCACTGCAGGACAGTTTGTATCAGGCTCTTAGAAGCAAGATTGAAATCCCATAAAACAAAGAAGAAGTCCTGCATTAATGAGAAACAGAGAAGAGCCAGACTGCAGTTTGCAAAATACAAATATATTATTCACAGATGAATACCTATAAATTAAGAAATGTGTAACAAAAAATTATGCTGTCTCTTAATTTTTCTCAGAGCTGTATATCACCCTTCCTTTATTATTATTATTATGCATTACATATTGTCTTGATGGCGATTATGTATCTACAATATGTAGAAATTTGTTGACATATCGCAATTGAACTTTGAACTTTATCCATATATTCTAAGTTAGCAGCACTAAAGCACTTTAGAACAACACGCACCAACACCACATATGAGCGGGCGGAGGGAAGCATGGGGTCTTTTCACACCCCGGTTCTCTGTTCACCATCTGGGGCTGGGGGCTGGGAGGAGCTGGCCGTCCGGTCGGGGTCTGGGCTGGTGGGCTTCTCGGCTGCTGTGGGGTCCGGGGTGGTCTTCTTGTCCCCATGCCAGAGGAAAAAAGGGATCCATCTCCGAGGTCTGGTGGCGGATTGCCCCTCTGGGGGTGGTGGTGCCTAGATCTCGGAGTATAGAGTATATATGGGGAGTGTGAGTGTGTGTACGGTGTTCATTTCTGTGTCTTCATGTTGGGCGAATGGGTGAATATTTGTTTATGTGTGCATGAGGGTGGGAACGTATGCTTGTGTATGTGTACACCTGTTTGTCTATACGTATGTGTCAGGTTGGGTCTTAGACTCCACCTGAAATAACATCTCAGGCTCTATTCCCCCCCGCCACACTCCCTGCTGGTGGATGAGGCCCCCGGCTGCCGATGCGTTGGTGGTTCTCGATGTCCGGGGCTGGATGCTCTGGTGTGTGCTGGCTCACTCTCGGCGGTTGCCTGCCGGGGCCTGGCCCTTCCGGCTCTGTCGGGGCCCTGGCTGGGGGGTGGGGGGGCCCTTGGATCTCTGGGCCCGGGGTCCGGTCTGCCCTGGGGTGGCCGGCCGCCGGCGGGGCCTGCGTGCTCGTCGCCACGGCCCCCTGGGGCTCCTGTGATGTGGCTGCCGGATGGCCCCCCTCCGGAGCGCTCCTCTGCCCTTTTCTCGGTGGGGGCTGCAATTGTCCCTGCGGTGGTCCTCCTGGGGTTCCCGTGCCCTGGGGGGCCTCTGGATATCTGGGGCCCGGGTCTCCTCCATGTCGACTTCATGTCCTGGGTGGGCAGGGCTGTGGCTCCCCACACACACTACTAGACAATTACATGGAGAAACTTTCTTTCCATTCCTCTCTCTCCCTCTCTCTCTCTTCCCTCCTTCTCCTTTGCCCCCCCCCTCCCTCTCCTTCTTTTGAGGAAGTAAATAAAAATATAAAATAAAATAAAAAATAAATAAATAATAATTTAAAAAAATAATTAATAAATAAATAAATAAATAGATAGATAGATAGATAGATAGATAGATACAGATAAAGTAGTCCCCCGCAGAGGGGGGGTGGAGGAGGGAATATAAAAAAAAAAAAATTAAAAAAAAGCAGCACTAGAGCTACTACTGACAATAACGGACATGACATTCCACAGTACCCACCCACACCTGGCCCTTTCACCCACATACCACACTGACACACACATACACACCTGTATCATATCACACTGACACATATACAAACACATGTGTTTCATCACACTGACACACACATACACACCTGCATCATATCACACTGACACACTCACACATACACACACACATATTATATCACTCTGACACACACACACTTGGCATATTGCATAGGGTGGGACAGCAGGCAGGACAGGACAGGGTAGGGAGCTGAGCAGGGCCCGGTCGAGGGTGAAATCGACACCAGGTCAACTTTCAACACAACATGTTTAACCACTGCATATGCTTTAGTGGTCATCGGCAGCGGAAGGCGGCCTCACTGAGCCCTGGCAAGTAGGAATAGCTACTGACAGTCAACATGCAAGCATGGGAGCAAACAGACAAGCAACTGTGAGATGGAATGAAGATTGCAGGGAGTGCTGGAATGCTGAGCTGCTAGCAGGGGGCATGGCAGTTAAGGTTCAAGCTCCAGAGCTGTACTGTTGAGCTTTGCAGCACAAGCACTTTATGAATAAGTAAACCCGTGGGGCAAATTGACAGGGTCTTAGGCTTAGGCAGCCACTTGACAGTGTCACCACAAACTCCACAGAAATGTGCGGTGGGACAGAGTTCTGGTCATGTCCATCTTCCCATGAGCTTTCTTGTTAGTGTCGATTGTGGGCCTTCCCGCAGTAAAGAGGCAGGTCATTACTGGCACTTGGCATATTTTTAAGCTTCAGCGAAACCAAAACTATGACACGTCTTTAAATGCTCCATCGGCTCTGCAGATGTGCACCCCTCCCGATCAGCATGTTGAGCGACAGTCAAACAGCCGCCGTAATGTGCAAGATGGGCGGTGCTCACTTAAAAACTTCCATCGCGCTTTCCAACTGGATAGGCTCTGATTTAGACGGGTGATTCAAGACGAGATCACAGCAGCACGATACACCACGGAGGAAATGAATGGCACTGAGGACCCCTGGTGTTCCCGACCGCCTCCCCTGGCCATCGACATTATTAAGGGTAAGATCCCTTAGCCTGCCCCTGCAGGTAGCGCTTTTGACGGCTACTCTGCCATGTGCTGAAACGCGCCTGACTGGCAGGAAAAGGCGCCCGAATGCTGGATAGGACGCTCACTTCACCTCTTTCTTGATTTCATTACTTTGTCTGCTCACATAAGCGATGGATTAGCAGAGATCTTGGCTTTTCATTAATTCAGTTGCAAGCTTTCCGTTTCCTTCTTTTTGGTTTGATTCTGAAATCCCCTTTTTTACACTCTCTAAATATTGCAATTAGTAAACATATTCGAAAGACAGTAATTATAATAGTTACAATTCGTGCATGTCGATAAGTGAAATAGCGCGTAAAAACGTGTCCAAGCTGGTTGGTTAAGATGTGTCAGAGGAAGAAAAACATTAGTTTTAAACTGCTTTGAAGGACAAATGAAATGCAATTTGCTGTTTGTGAGACAGCTGTATTTGTGAGTAAGTCGCACTCATACAGGCAACCATGAATTTAAAAATCCTTCCGTCACGCAGCCGCTTATCCCGGCGAGCGAGCGCAGGACATCCAGGATAGGATAGACAGGCCATCGTAGGGCGCACAGACACAAATCAAGGGACGCGTTTCTAGCTAATGAAAAAAGTCAGGGGTTTACCCGAGCATGGATTTTTATTTGAAGGGTGGAAGATTGGCATCGGGGGTAAAATACTCGGGACTTCATCCCCGAGTGATCGGACCTAACGACGTCCATGCCAGGGCGTATGACTGCATGACTTGGGACTGAGGGGGAAACTCCACACACAGCGATCTGCCGTTAAAATTAAAACATATTTCAGTTCAACTGACGTATATTGGTAAAACTAAACCAGTAAAGGTGAATCTATTAAAAACCGTGAGAAAGTAACTTTTAAAGCACCGTATTGTTGACTTTAGCATCTATACTGATATATCAAATAAATGTCCTCGCAGAATGAAATATCACTGAATGAACGTAATCCGCGTTTTTTAATCTTAATTTCTACTATTATTTTACAAATTACCGAATCAGGGGCTAAGACAAGTTTTCCCGGGCTTGACTTTTTATTTGAAGGAAGGAAGATTGGCATCGGGAATAAAATACTCGGGGCTTTAGTGATCGAACCTATCGACTGCGGAGGAAACTCCACACACAGAGCGATCTGCCGTTAAATTAAAATTTGTTTCCGTTCAAAAAGATGTATATTAGTAAAATTATATCAGCAAAAGTTCATCTATTAAAAAGAGTGAGAAAGTAACTTTTAAATCACGGTATTGTTGACTTTAGTATTTACACTGATACACCATATCAAATAAATGTTCTCACAGAATGAAATATCATTGGATGAACATAATCTGCGTTTTTGATTTGAATTATTATCATCATCATTATTTTTAATTATTTTTATTTTTTATTATTATTATAATACATATTACTTAGTAAATTTTGCATTATATAGTTCAAATTAAATATCGTATGGTAATGTACATTAATAGCCTAGACATTATTTGTACACTGAAATGTATTACGTGTTTGGTAAATCTGTTTAATGGACACCGTAAATCCTTCAGATAGTCGGACCTGCGGGGTTTTAACTAGGAGGCACCGACAGCAGTTGTCATATACACGTATCTATAATGTGCAGAAGCGGCACCATTAACGTGCCGTGATCTCGAACGGTTTGCCCATCTTAACTGCACGGGCGTTGGGTGTGGCCTAATGCCGGACATGGGCGGGGCCAGTAAATGGTGGCATCGCTGCTTGTCAAGTCCTGCCGTCTTCAGGTTCTTGTCCAGGCAGACAGGCGCTGTTTGGCACGCCGTAACACACCAAGTACTTGTGCACAGTACCTACACTCTGGGCTCTTAGTAATTAAGTTCAATACAATTTATTGTTATGTAGTGCCTTCCACAACAGTGTTGCCCCAAGGCACTTGGAATAAGGGTGATGAAATTAATCATTACATCATTTATACAGACGAAAGAAAGAAAGCCAGAACACAACAAAAGAGAAAAGAACCACTGGAGGGCCAAAGTCAACTGACCGCCCTACCCTGTTGAAGATTCCCAGGTGACATATTTATCAAACTTGGGTGCTGCAGTTCATCTGATAATAGATCAGTGTGGTGATAGTACCGGGCAGGGCCACACTGAGAGTAATAAGTGCCCCAGGGCAACAGCGCACATTACGTCATGTCAGACAGGAACGGAGCTGCTTTGTAAGCCACCAAATTCAGCGATGCGTCTGACATCAGGGAGACACTACATAGGCTTTTCAGTGAGTGCCATATTAAAAGATCCATATACAATCATATTAAATATATTAGATATTAAATCGGATTAACTTGTTAAATGACATTTGTGAATGGGACCGTGGAGGGTGTGCTTATGGGGGGCTGCACTGCTTGATGCCCCCCTGAGCGCATGGTGTCCTTGGGCACGTGCCCAAATCCACGTATGATTAATCTCGGCTACTGGGCTGTACATGACATGACGTCCCCATATGGGACAGGAGCACAGCGCAAGGGCAGCCTGTTGGGGGCCTCACATGCCATGTGTAGGCTTGTACTGAAGATCAAAAACATCCATCCATCCATGAACCTCCCATTCTGCTTGTGCTGGTGCAGGCTGTGTGTTATAAAGATTAGCTTGAAATGCAGTCAGATCATTACAGAAAGAAGAATTGAAGTTTATCTTGGAGCGTCGCTCTTTGCTCGCTCTGGATTTGCACTAAGCATGGCGGGGATTCTGCTGGTATGTGCCGAGGCCTGTCAAGGAGCACGGTGAGGTGCCGCAGCTTCGGAGGCCTGGACATGCCCTGCCTCCCACTTCACTGAGACAAACCCTCCCAGTCTGTCAGTGATAGATTTAGTGCCAGATGCCAAATCTGTGAGATCCACAAATGGGTTTAGTAGGTATCCAGTGGGAGGGACAGTGGCCCTGTAAAAAGGTTCTATGGTTCTGTATATTAATGTATCTGACCTGCATCTAGTCATCATCAGGGTCTAATGGGAGGTAAATGTCATTGTTTAATCGTTCCTTAATCGAAATAAACCAGCCAACAGTCTGCAGGCTTGTGAATCCATAACACGGGAGTCAACTACACGGGACTCCTACTTTTCTTTAGCAATTTCTCAGTGTTGCATAATTTGGGTGTAATTGTGGTCCACGCCTTGTCAGAGGGCTGTTAGCGTACTACTGCAAAGGCTGCTGGGAAGGTGCATTGCTAGTGTAACCCTCTGTGGGATCTGGATATCTGGAATCATGTGATCACTCTCGGACAGAAGAGGTGGGGATGGGGTCTCACTGTCAGCATTCCAGGGACAGGAAAACGGCAGAAAGAGAAAGTGATTGTTAGTGGAGAAAGGTCTAATGGGAGAGAACAGCCTGAGAAGGAACCAGGGCGGCACTGTAGGTATTTTATTGTGGTGAGCCAGTATGGGCTGATTTTTAATCCTAGTGCAGCCCATGCACCCCACAAACAGGCTGTTTACCAGAATCTGCAGAAGGTGATTACAGGAAATGTGCAGCAGAATTCCTGTCTTGCTGCACTTTCCGGCATCAGTTTTTAGTGGGGGTGGAGGGGTATCCTCAGTGGATGTACAACGAGTCTCAGTGTGTTCAGTTTCCTTTCACTTTTGATTGTTCTTAAGCCAGCAGCTGGGGGGGGGGAGGAGTAAGTGTTTTGCTCCTGTGTTGTTCTGCTCCCCCCCCCCCCCCCCCCCAACAAAATCCCCACACTTCTGAGACTCTCGCTGTCCCAGTGGCTTTTCCAGACCCAAGCCACTGGAGGGAGACTGCTGCTGAAGTTTCATATCACAAGCAGTTCAGAGGAGTGTCCCGCCTCTGGAAATTAGTTTTCCCTGGGGGGATTTCTGGGCCATTGCCGTTCTTAGTTTAGAATTCCTAAGCTTCTTGCCAGATGTTTCCATTTCTCATTGCTGGACCGGCTTCTGGGAAAGTGGGAGTGATGTGGAAACGTAGTCAGTGTTCAGTGAAACTCCATGTCATCCTGCACCACCAGTCTGTTCCAGATTCAAATCAATCATAATTTCAGAGTGATCATAAAAAGCATTGTGGCTCAGTAGGTGGCGCTGTAGCCTCGTGGATGTGGCTGTGTGAGTCCCAGCTCTATATACCATGTGTGGAATTTGTATGCCCTCATTATGGCGAGGGGATTTCAGGCTGACTGGCATCTCTGAGCTATTCGTATATGTGCCATGTGATGTACTATGGCGCCGGGCCCCAGTGAATGCTGGGAAAGTTGCTTTAGGACAGGTAGCTGGCTAATTACTTGTTCTTTTTCGGCAGGGCTGGACACACTGTGGATCGTTCTCTATGCTGGGCTGACGCTCATGGCCTTGCTGTCCGTGCTGCTCTACCTGGAGGAATGCGTCTACTTCTTCCAGAAGCTTCCATACCCCAAGAAGACTGCCATCATCTGGGTGAATGGGGCAGCACCGGTGAGCTCCTCCTCCCCCTTCTCCCTGCTGGAGCTCCATCACCCTAACCTCTATCTCTCGTTTCCCCCGCCAGGTCATCGCAACCATGTCCTGCCTGGCTATGTGGATCCCCAAGGCCACCATGTTCACGGACCTGACCTCTAACTCGTGAGTGTGGTGCCCCTCTGTGGTTTTAATGTGCCAAGATGCCATTAGCGTAGAGGTGCAGCGATTCCGGATTGCCTTTCTGCAGGTACTTTGCCATCGTGGTGTACCAGTTCCTGGTTATGATGATAGAGGAGTGTGGTGGGGACGAGGCTTTCCTGCGGCGCTACAGCCAGAACAAACTCCGGATCAGCACCGGGCCCTGCTGCTGCTGCTGTCCATGCCTGCCCCACGTGGGCATCTCACGGTATGCCAGGAGGGGTGAATCAATCATAACACGGGAGATGGGTGATGGGTGGCACACGGGCTTACTGGACTTCTGCTGTGACCACTGTGTGCGATTTTCCTCTGGGGACTCCAGCTTCCACCGATATCTCCAGAGGCACTCAGTCAGGCTAATTTCTGCCCCCTAAGTGCCCATTATCGGTCTGAGTTTGTGCGTGCATGTCCCCTTTGATGTCACGATCCTCTTTCCAGGGAAAGTTTTCACAGTGATAAGGAACAATGTGAGGTTACATGTTTACATTGGCATGGGACTTTCAATCCTGAATACCACCCGTAAATATTTGGGTTTTCCCATGAAACGTGCCAAAAAGGAGCCAGCTATTCACCGTGCTTGTTTTTGCGTGGATTAGGCATGGTTGTTTGAGGGCTGTCTGTGTGCGACGTCACACCATGGGTGTCTCCCTCTGATGGATCCCCACAGGAGAACGCTGTTCATCCTCAAGCTGGGCTCCTACCAGTTTGCGCTGCTGAAGACCGTCCTGAGCATCCTGTCCATCGTGCTGTATGCAAACCACAACTTTGACCCTTGGAATGTGAGTATCACCATGGTGACCTGTCAGCCTCACTTTTTGTGGGGGATATCTGCTGAAAAGCCCCCTGCCCACAGACGAACATCACAGGAGCTTCCATCTGGATCGGCCCATTCACAGGCATTCTGACCATCATCGCCCTCTGGCCGGTCTCCATCATCTTCATACACCTGCGTGACACCTTAAGGGACCTGAAGATCGTCTCCAAATTCGCGATGTATCAGGTCAGTCAGCCAGCTAACTATGGGTGTAAATAATAGCTTTCCTCGCGATACGATACGATACAATATCGATTCCTTAAGCCAACGGTTCGATTTTTTTATGATACCTCAAAAATTGCCACGATACGATACGATTCGATTCGATTCAGTTCAATACTGGGGATAGTAGTCAAAATTATGAAATTTCACACAATCCTTTACATTTCAATGAGTTAAAAAAGGCAAATATAATTAGCATTTTATCATATTTTATTGGGAATTTACGGAAGAGGATTAGGGCCACCATGAAAATATTATTTGAATTGTGACTTTAATCTCAGAATTCTGACTTTTTTCTCAGAATTCTGACTTTAATCTCAGAATTCTGAATTTAGAAAAAAAGTTTAAAGATTATAGTCAGAATTCTGAGAAAAAGTCAGAATTCAAATAATATTTTCATGGTGGCCCTAATCCTCTTCCGTAATGCTGGGATACAGTATTTTTCTTTGAGAGTTTTTTTTTTTTTAAGAAAAATTAAATGGTCAACGTGTTCAGGAGATTGTGTGCTCTGAGCATAAGGTCCTATGTCACCTGCCGTACTAAACACACGCTCTGAAGTTACGCTAGCTTGCGAGCTACTTATAAATGACCAAGTCAAAATGATCTACCTACTATAAAAATGCAAAACATATATTTATGTATAAAAATATTGAGTATTCTTTAATATTATTTATTATTATTACTATTATTATTTTCCCTTTGGCATGAATAAAGTATTTTTGAATTGAACTGGGATTTTAATTCCTTCACCTTTCTATTTCTCAGCTCGCTTTTCGGAGGGAAGTTAATGTCGTAGTTTTTATGAACAGTTCGAAAATGCCGCTCCACATTTCCCTTCTTCGGAATAGCAATGGTAGACTGATAGATGAGGCAAATGCACTTCGAATATGACATGGTGAAAAACAGTCCTCCCCCCATTCCGTATGGAAGTGGTAGGTTTTTGGCTTCTTACTTGGTCCAGCTCCCCCATTCATTTTTATACCCTTTCTTAAGTTTAGTAGAAATAAACTGGAGGCTAACTAGGCGACTCAGTCGCTTGCAGCAGCTGGCGCGGTTGAACGCGTCATCCATCCTCTATTTTTTATGCCATACGATCTACCCACACTACCTTTGCAATCAAAAAGTAGATCACGATCGACCTATTGCGCACCCCTGGTGTAGACCATGTATATGTCGGAGTGGATCATGAAAACAATACTGGAACAGGCGAGAAAATAAAAACACATGTATCGATATTTATGCGGTCACATCGATGCATCGGATCGTTTGCCGTTGAATCGATATATCGATACAAATCAATGTATTGTTACACCCCTACAGCTAACCTGCTCTGCTCCTGCTTAGTGGCTCTGGGCTCTGACATAGGTCTGCATCAGCTGAAATTGCCTCCTCATGTCTCTGCAGATGGTGCTGATCCTGAGCCAGCTCCAGACAGCCATAATCAACATCCTGGCTATGAATCACGTCATTCCCTGCTCACCACCCTTCTCCTCGCAGTACAGAGGATACTGTAAGAGTCACCTCACTCACCTTATCACCATGATATGAGTGCAAGCTGCGTCTGCCACCAGGGCAACCATACAGGTACACGATAGCAATTGCAAACCACAGAGCATTTTGCCTTACCCCCCTGCAGTGATGAACCAGCAGCTGTTGATCGCAGAGATGTTCCTCATCACACTAGTGACACGCCTGCTGTATCGCCGTGAATACAGGCCGCTGCCCGCGGCTCCACATGCTGGGGAGAACGGGGAGACCAGCATCATCCTGCAAACAGAGCTGACAGATGTGACAGCGTGACCTCGGGGCGACACGCTGCCGGTATACCCGAAGGAGTGACCAACGTCACTAAATTTGTCACATTCCCATTGTGTAGCCAATGCTTTCTTACAAAGTCGGTCTTGTGTCTGTCCTGTGGTTCCGAAGTCTTCCAGCAAGGTCCAAGTTTGCCCTCATAGTTTTTATTTTGTTTTGAGCTTCTGAGTTTGCTTCAGCGGCAAGATCTCCAACTAAAGCGCAGAGGCTGGGGGCTTCCTGAGCTGAAGCTTTATGCTGAGCCTATCTGCCATTAATGAAAGTGCTTCATGTCAACGATAAGGCTGCCCTGAGCTGGCACCATGTAACCCGCAGAATAGCAAAAATACCCTCGAGGGCAGAGTGGGAGGAATTTCCAGTATTTCATGCTGCCATCTTCCCTTATTTGGCTCCGTGTTTTCATTACGCATACTGCTGCCTTTCCGCTAGTTTCACGGCGTGACACCCGAACCCCCCAGACTGATTCATACTGCTGCGTCAATGCCTTACCTTCTATAGCTATGGACCCTGTGCCCCTCCCCAGAAGTGTAACTACAGGTTGCAGTGACACAGACTGCAAGAACTCTTATTGGTCCACTTTTCATAGCGATCATTGTTTATTATGAGAGTGAAGAAAGTGTACATCCCAGTTGTACTTATGTAGCTGCTTGAAATTGAAGAGCTACTTATATCTAGCATTAAATAACCCACCCTGGGCATCATAGCAACAGGTCTACAAAACACTCAGGGTGACAGCGCCAACTTCACTTACCTCCATTAAGTTTATTTGTGCTTTACAAGACTAAAAAAATAAGTAGAAAGTTGTATAGTATACTAGCTTTAGAAAATGCATAAACAGTGACTTTGTAGCAGCTTGACATTTTTCCAAATTTGTGTACAGGATGATTGGAGCAGCACAAATGTAACCAGAACTCAGTAAATGTATACTTTGTTAAATGTTTTTTTCTGTTTCAATTGCATGATTCAACAATTGAGTATTGCAGGGTGGGAAGACAATAAATGCAACATTCAAAGCTATGTATCGTCTAGCATTTTGGGGATGTAACTGCTTAGCGACGCCCCGTGCACAAGTATAAATGCTCGTGGCTGCGTTGGCCACTTCTGTAGGTTGCGGCATAAGTTTGAAGCAGAAGTATAATTCGGGCTTTTATGAAACCTTCTGAATTAACACGTCACATTTTTACATTGTCTTAACATGTACAGTTTTGACCTGTTGATTCAGATGGTTTTTACTTTGATAGCATTCCATAGACTTTAGTCTTAATGTCTCAGGCTCCTGTCATCTTTAAATGCTTGAAACACAAACTCAGCTTTGAGGTCAGACTGCTTGCTGCAATGTATGACTCACAGTGACGGAAGAAAAGCCAGCTCAGCCCAATTTCAAGAAAGCTTTTAAAAAAATAGTTTCGATGGCCAGGCAGTTCTTCAGAATGATGGAATTTATAGATACGGCACAAGACCTACCCTGTTCTGTCAGAATTTGTATTTATTTTAATCTTTTATACACTGGTCGTGTGCCTGTAATTAAAACAGACATTTTGAATATATGATACCAGTGGAAGAGGAGTTCAAACAAAAATAATGTCTGATTTGTGAGGAAGTGCTTTGTGGACAACTACAAACAGTCCAGTGGACATAAAGAAATTTAAATGCCTTATGTTCAAGGGCAGGGGTTCGGTGCTTTGTGGATCGGGTGGCGGCCAAGGGAGGCCGTGGCGGTCCGATCCCCGGCTGACAAAACTGGCTTTCGGGACATGGAATGTCACCTCTCTGGTGGGGAAGGAGCCTGAGCTTGTGCGTGAGGTTGAGAGGTATCGACTAGAGATAGTCGGGCTCACCTCAACACATAGCTTGGGTTCTGGAACCAGTCTCCTGGAGAGGGGCTGGACACTCTTTTATTCTGGAGTTGCGGCGGGTGAGCGACGCCGGGCTGGGGTGGGGCTATTGGTGGCCCCACAGCTCGGTGCATTAACAACGGAGTTTACCCCGGTGAACGAGAGGGCTGTTTCCCTGCGCCTTTGGGTCGGGATAGGTCTCTGACTGTCATCTGCGCTTATGCACCGAATGTCAGTTCGGAGTACCCGGCCTTCTTGGATTCCCTTAGCGGTATGCTATTTGGCGTGCTGCGGGGGGATTCCATCGTTTTGCTGGGGAACTTCAAAGCTCACGTAGGCAATGACAGTGAGACCTGGAAGGGGGTGATTGGGAGGAACGGCCTCCCTGATCTGAATCCGAGTGGTGTTCTGTTATTGGACTTCTGTGCAATGCATGGTTTGTCTATAACGAACACCATGTTCGAGCATAAGGGTGTCCATAAGTGGACATGGTACGAACATGCCCGGGGCTACAGATCAATGATCAATTTCATAATCGTATCATCTGATCTGCGGCCTTCCGTCTTGGACACTCGGGTAAAGAGAGGGGCAGAGCTGTCAACTGATCACTACCTGGTGATGAGTTGGCTCAGGTGGCGGGGGAGGAAGCCGGTCAGACCTGGTAGGCCCAAGCGCATAGTGAGGGTCTGCTGGGAACGTCTGGCAGAGGCTCCTGTTCGCTGGAGCTTTAACTCGCACCTCTGGCAGAATTCCAACTGCATACCGGGAGGTTGAGGACATTGAGTCTGAATGGACACTGTTCCGGACCTCCATTGTGGAAGCTGCCGTACGGAGCTGTGGCTGCGGGGTGGTCGGTGCCAGTCGTGGCGGTAACCCCCATACCCGATGGTGGACACCAGAGCTGAGGGGGGCCGTCAAGCTGAAGAACGAGGCTTACTGGGAATTATTAGCCCAGGGGTCTCCGGAGGCAGCTGACGGGTACCGGCAGGCCAGGCGGAACGCGGCTCGGGCGGTGGCAGAAGCAAAAACCCGGACATGGGAGGAGTTTGGTGAGGCCATGGAAAGTGACTTTCGGTCGGCCTCAAAAAGGTTCTGGC